CCCCCCCCCCCCCCCCCCCCCCCCCCCCCCCCCCCACCCCCCCCCCCCCCCCGCCCCCCCCCCCCCCACCCCCCCCCCCCTCCCCCCCCCCCCCCCCCCCCCCCCCCCCCCCCGCACGACGACATACACCAAGTACACCAATCATCGAGATCCTGGCCGGCAATGCCTCGTTTGGGAACTCCATCCCGCGCTGCCGCATCGGCCTGAGCCTTTTGGCGCGCCCTCGCTTGGCCATGATGGCCGCCGGGTATCAGTTGACCATACCCTTGGAAACCGAGCTAAAAAAGCCAATTGCTTTGCTCTCATTTGAAACTTGGCATTGGTTCCCTTTTTACGAGGATCCAATTCACCCTCTTACACACCTGTGTGCGTGTGTGCCTCTTTATCAGAACCAGAACCAGAAGGAGAAGGGGCCCCTTATCTATCCGTCGAATCCGGGACCGTTTACGATTGTGGGAGGGCGCCACACCATTAGAGGGTGCCTTCTTCCTCCGTAGGTATCGGCCGCCACCTCTGACTCTCTGCTAACTTCATCTCTGAATCGTCCTCTTCCCTCCTCCCTATACAATATCGCGGTGTTGTGACGTCGGTAGGATCATTATCCATACCACCTTACTAATCGAGTTTGAAGTCGCCGCCCACTTCACGATGTGCCCGAGATGGCACTCGAAATACGTAATTGCCATCCGTCGTTTTGGATTGACCAAAGTTCAATCTCGCCAACCCAAACCCTCGACGTTGTCATCTACCGTTCATTTGCCCCCAACTAGCAATACCGAGGTCCCCTCGGTTCTCAGAGCCTACCGTATCTCACGTATCCACTCCCCAGCGCCAACGCTCCAGCATAGGCTTAGTATAGCTTTGCTAACGGACGGGGATTCTCCAATCCATCACAAGTCACAACCCGTTCGCCGTTATCGATCACTGTAATCTTGGTCCCTCTCTCCTGTCACGAGATCCAACACCCAAACAGCACTGTTGGTACCCGTCCAATGAGCGATGCCAACACTGACGACCAACGCGCATGTGAAGACCCCCACAAGTATCTAGCCCAGCTGTCTTACAATCTATCTCACGATGACGGCTTCACAATCGAGCTTCAAGAGAATGGAAACATGACGGTATTCAAGGCATCAGCCGCCCAGCGCCAATCTCTGGTTCCGATTTCTTTTCTTCTCATTCCTCTGTCTTCTAGTCCCCTTCCCTCTTACCATCCCGCTGCCACCCCACAAACCCGTTGGGGAGCACCGTACCAAACTGCCTCATCTTTCGGATGAACCAAGGCCGGAAACCCGTAGACAGTAGTACAACTAGGTAGGCACCTAGGACAAGGTAGTTGTATCATGAGACCGGGATGGGATCCGGGGAAACCGCCTTCACATGAACCCTGCGAAATTTCATTCAGAGACCTAACCTTACCCCGGGTTTTTCTTCAAAAGACAAAACAAAAAAAAAGAATAAAAGAGTCAATTACTTGCTTCACACCCCGCGAATGCGTCTCACGCCCGCAAACCGCTCAATCCCATGTACGAGCATGTACGTCACCAATGTTTCGCTTGGCGCTGAACAGAAACCGCCCGAGAGAAAAGACGCCGCGGCCTTCAAACTCACTCATGAGGCATGTCGGGGTAGGCAGGTCATTGGGGGGTTTGTCAGTCACCGCTGGGGTTGTGAGTTGTCACGGTTGTCATTGCAGTTGTAATCAAAGCTGTTTGTCAAGGAGTTGTTCTCCCATCAATTCTCTAAGAAATAAGCCATCATTAAAACATCAAGAGCAGCTAGACCTTTGCAAGTCTTCACAGGCCCCCACAGAACAAATCGAGTTTCCCGGCAGAGGAGAAAAATTCCCTTCCTTGCCAAAATCCTTCCCGCTCCTCCGCTTCTCTTTCCTCGGGTTGGTTTGGTACGTCCGGTCCTCTGTGGTATTCCCCCCGAAAATGCCATTTGCTTTTTTCTCTTTGTTGCGCCCTTTGCGGTTTCCCTGTCTTCTGTCTCCCATCTCTTTCCAGTGTCGGCTGTTCCCTTGGGCCTCCATGGTATTTCCAACTCCTTGTCCAATAGAACAATCCGTATACAAAAACAAATGGTCGAGGATCGTCGCCTGACCCGATACATGATGTGATGTTGAGCGCCCCCTAAAGGTTTGATAAAAAGTCGAAACGAACAAGAACTGAAATCCAGTCATGCAGCCCGCTGATGGAAATGGTCGGAATAAAACAAGTAACAAGTCGTGAGATTTCCGTATGTGCTCTCTCCTCGGCCTGTCCGAATTAAATCGTGTGATGGTAATAACTCTTTTCTCTGATTCCTTCCGTCGTGTCCCATGAGCGATAGTCTATGTCTTGTTGTGGTCCCTTCCTGTCGATAATAACGCCGTAGGATGAAAACTCCGATTGTTGAATGATGATAAAAATAAAATAGTGCAAATCCCATGGCGCCTTTCCGGGGTATCGAAATTGGGGGATAAGGTAGTCAACGTGTGTGATCATGGTGGTGATCACGATCTCCGGCTGGGGCCGGCCTCAACCTCGTGTTCGTCGTCGTCCAGGGGAACTAGCAGACCCTCAATCTCAGTGGGTTCCACTGCCGTCTCGATATCTCTGACAGGCTCGTCCAAGCGTCCACGGGGCTCGGTAAGATGCATGCTTAGGAAGGCGCCGAAAATGGTAATGGCACCGCTGGTCCACCAAGCAAGTCCGGAGTAGCCGGTTCGAATACCAAGAGTGTAAAGGAAGCCCGAAATGGTCGGCCCGAACGCTCTGCACAAGCTCGCTGTCGAGGCGGCCACGCCGTTAATAGTTCCGAGGGACATGAGGCTCGGTGCCGAGTTTGTGAGCAGAATCGCATTGCTGGGGTAGGCCATGGTCGAGAAGGTGCACTTCCAGATAACCATGATATAGATGCCGATGATTCGCAAGTTCTCAGGCAACAGAGCTAGGTAGGGTGTCGTCAGGTAGAGCAAGAAGTAAGAAATGGCCAATAGTCTGAACAGCCGGAGAGGACCGAGGCGTCTGGTAACCCATGGGAAGATGAAGACTGTCGAGATCATGGAGTAGACACCCTGAACCGCGAGAATGATGCCAATGGACTTGGTCTCCATCGAGAAGCCGCCGGGGAACTTGAAAGGAAGGTGAACGTCCGGGTGCTCGCGAGGCGTGGTGCTGAGGAAGACGGGGAACAGTTGATCAAAGGTCATGGTGTGGCTGGTAGAAGTGTAAGCATGTTGATGAGAGTCTCAAAGTGAAGAGCAATGACTTACAAGGCCAGGATGCCGTAGGAGATGATGTTCAAGATGACAGGTCTGGTAAAGATCACCTTGGGCGGCTCAGCAATTTCGTCAATGATTGATGCCTCTGTGAGGTCCAGAGTCTCGGTTGGCTCGGGGATAGTAGACTCGGATCCCACAAGTTGGGGAGAGCTCTCGTTCGTGCGGTAGCCGGGGAGCTCATCATCGTCGAGCAGTGCCTGCTTCTCCGCCTTCCGCGCAGGGATTTGGCAGCTCTTGGCCGACACCCACGAGATAATGCGCTTTCCCAACTCCACACCGGGGTCTCTCCTCTTCTTGCGCTCAGCGTGGGTTTCTTCCAGAAAGAGCAGACCGATGACAACTCCGCAGAAGACAGTGGCGGCGCTGAAAAGATTGGGCAGGAGGAAAGGGTACTGATCCCAGATCGAGCCCGCTTTGAAGTACTGCGGGTAGCTTTGAACAGGCTCGGCGAGTAAGCCACCAAGAGCAGGTCCGACAATTGAGCTGTGCAAAGTCAGACACTAGTCAATGAACTCTGGCGAGTCGCGTAGTAGGGGTACGCTCGCCACAACAAACTCAACTTACCCAAGACACCAAACTAGGGGCATAATAGTGTATGCGCGGGCTGCACAGAGTTAGCTCATCACCTGTAACCGGGAAAGACTTCCGAACATACGCTGATGCTCCTTGACCGTAACCAACTCCGCGACAGTCGTTTGCAGGACACCAATATTTCTTTGCCAAAGTCAGCCAAAGGTCAATTTTTGCCAGTGGGCTGGCTCATAGACTCGACATACCCGTTCAACAGACCACCGAGAGCTCGCGCAATGAGTGCAACCGTCAAGTTGGGGGCAAATCCGAAAACCAAAGAGCTCAAGGCCGTGCCAAAGAGGCCCATCAAGAGGACAGGCTTGCGACCAATCTTGTCGCTCAGTCTTCCCCAAACGACTCCTGTCGAAAACTCGGCCAAAGTGAATGCGGATGTGATCATGCCAGCGTAGACGGAAATCTTGCTCTTGTCTTCGGTGATGTTGAAGTGTTCGACCATCTTATAGACGTAGGGGAAGATGGACATGAATGCAATCGGTTCGCATATTCTGCAGAGCGCTGGTTGAAGAGCGTGTTAGCGGGCATCCTGCGGTGAGCCCATCTAAGACCGCTGGATGAGGATATGCATACCGAGAACAAACATCTGTGTCGTGGGAAAGGGCGGAAGCTTGGACTTCATGCTCCCCGAGGAGCCGCCTCGACGGCCTCCCGTCATGTAGCCGGTCCTCTTCATCTTGGTTGATCCTCGGTGTATGCGCAGTTGGCAGGCTGGATGTTGTGTGAGGCGCAAAGAGATTCGGTAGGCGGTTGGAAAGATTTCGGATCAAGGGATGGGTGGGCGATGTTGCAATATATAGCACTGCAGTTCCTGTAACGTCTTCGGTGGGCTCAAGAATCGAGGGAGAAAAACGGTATCGTGGAGCTGGTGGTCCAGATTGGTGTGGGCAAGAATTTGTTTTGCTAGTCTCGTGGAAGGGAGGAAAGCGTGTTGATGCTCGAGACTGATGATGTAACCATGAAAAGCAACGGTGGAAAAGCAAAGATAAAACAAGCAGAGCGAGACCAAAGCTATTCAGACAGCGTGGCGGGATGGTTACCTTATGAAAGAAAGTATCAGATGGGACAAAAAGTAGCAAGCTCTGGGGAAGCAAGCAACTTAATATGAAGGGAGCGCGGACGGTGACGATGAGAGGACCAAGAGACGTCAAAGCCCAGGGCCACCCCAGACACAGACCAGACCCAGCTGGGGGACAGGCCACCGGGACCGTACCATTGCCTGGGTCGAGGAAGCAAAAAAATTTGGATCTAAGATTGGAACGGCGGTGACCATGGACCATGGCATGTCCAGCGCAAAAAAGAAACAAGACGATCCTCCCACTTGTCCACCGGGGAGGGATTCAGGGAGATGCGGCGGCGAAAGGTCCCACGTCGTGGGAAGGGATCCAACTGCCCGGCATGACGGCCGTGGGGCCTGAGAAGCCCTGTACCTGATCCAGGGGTACCCCCCAGACAAGACTCGGTGGGCTTTTTTCTCCATACATGCGCAGTCGGGGGGTGTGTGAGTGTGTAGGCATGTGTGTGCGTGCGGCGCGGCGTGCCCCCTTACCCATGTCGAGATGACGGTCCCAAGGCCATGAGTGTTCGCCTTACGACTGTGGATAAGTGTAAGTCGGTACGTCCATGGCTCGGCCACTACCTACGCGACGGGTACTACCCGGATGAGATTCCCTAGACGCAATCCGTTGTTAGCAGCTCAGTGGTGTCAAGGGGAGGATGGGGTTCGGAGCGAGCGGATATGTGGGTGTGGGTGTGTGTGGAAGGGAGACTTAGAGAGAGAGACACACACACATCACACACACACATACACAAAGTGAAAAAGCCGTGAGAGTAAGAGAGTGAGTGAGAGAGAGAGAGAGAGAGTATCCGAAGGGTACAAGAGTACTTCCCTTGACCAGACGAAGAGAGTACGTACTCAACCAGACCGACATGGACGGAGTAGGAAAAGTAGGCAAGGGGTGGTAGACTCGGGGAAGGATGGCGCCAGACCGGAGGGCAAGGATCAACAGAGGAATAAAAAAGGTTTCACAAGAGGCAACGAGGCTAGAGCCGCGATGGGACTGGGCTGGATTTGGGAGAGGGAGACTTTTTGGAGCAAATGGAGCCAACTCGGAATTGGGGTGTGGGTAGTTGCAGGGCGCCAGAAATAAGAAAAGCAAAAGAAAATTAGCCAACCGACGCAACAGGTTACAGCAGGACAAGGAAACGAAAGCCAACATTTACCTGCACTTTCGTCGATGGCCGCTGTGTAGCGACTACGCGTCCATCAAGTGCCCGCCACTCTCTTCTGGCCCATATCGCAGCGCAGCGCATCGCATCGCATCGTAATGCCAAAAAGCCTGTGATGCGCAACGCAACGGCATCTGCTCCGTCCTGATCCCGGTCCCTTGCTCCCATCTCGCCTTGTCTGCTCTGGTGGCAACTACATCGTGAGGTGCACGGAGTATCATAGGTAGTAGGTATTGGTGTACGGATAGCCTTAGACACAATGTGCTTGTCTCGGAAAATCCAGCTCGAATAACCACCCGGGTTTCGGGCTTCATTTACCAGCATGTATCAGCCTTGGGTTCTTCGGCCGTGTCTGTCCAGACCATTCTCAACCTGCATACTCCGTTCTGTGCTTTGAATACTAGAACCATGCGCACTGTCATTGTGGTATGGTGCCCTTCTGTCAAACGCCTTTTGATGGGTAGCGAGACGAGCATCTCGACACTGTACTGTTGTTTCCCGGCCTTCCATGGGCGGACGAGAAGACGAGATGATGTATCTTGTCTGCGATGTGAGGCACCCAAGGTGCAAGGTGTGTACTTACAGCCCAAGGTTCACAACCCCCGGCACTTGGGTCGCATGGCTGGCTTTGTTGTAGGCTGTAGCAAGGGGGGGGGGGGTCCGACATTGGATTGTTGGATGAAAGAAACCACCGACCGAGGGCTGGTCAAACGCTAGTTGACTGTATTGTCGAGGGAGGGCGACATGGGGAAAAAACCCAGGCTGTCCCTGTGGCTCAGTAATAGACCGCCTCCTTAGCAGGGTGAACTAATCCTGTTCCCCGCGCTGCCTGTGCCTGATCTTTTGCGGTGAGCGGCAGCACAAATACAAGACGTTAGCTTTGCTGCCATTTGATTGGGACATCAGGGGTGGGCTTCCATTACGGATCATCCTGAATATTCCTCTGGAGCTTTCCCTGACTCCCTATTGTTGGGCAAACTGAGGTGGGACGCGGGTATGCTTCCTGTCGCACGCGGAGCTTATCACGCCCCAGAGAGCCTGCATCAGAGCGCCGAGGATCTGAGTAACAAGGCCGGGCTGATAGAACCACCTCGTCGTCCGCTTTTGTGAGGCGGTGAATGAAAGAAAGCAGGACCAGGGCCGCGGAGTGTCCCTCCCGGCGGATATCGACACCTTTTGCGCCAGCGTCGTCGGCCTTGAGCTGTTCGAAGGGAAAGAAGCCGTTGCCGTTACGGTTTCCCGCTGCCGCTGCCGCCGCACCCTGACTCGGAGCCTCTCTGCCGGATCTCTGGAATCAGGACGTAGGGGCCTGTGTAGATAGACTCGCAACTCGCTCATCTTGGTACTAAGGATACGCGTTGCTAGATACACAACGTACGGCCCCGTAGATGTGTTTGCCTCGGCGTCTTGCTGAATACGAGAGAGCATCCGTAGTCACACAGTACTGGTGCTTGCAGCGGCCGTATGCGATTGTGGAGAGGCGCCTCTCAAAGGTCGCACAGCTCTATCGGCCGAGACGTGATTCCGCCTGTGACTGTAAACCAAGGTAGCGTCGATGGGGTATGTGCCGTGACGTCTGAAGAGGGCGACCCTCAAGACTGCTGCAGCTTGCTTGCTCAAGCGCCCAGTGTACGGCTCGAGGTCCTGTTGGTCGCATGCACCCTGACCATGACAGCTTCCGATTGGAATGACAACAGCACACCTTTGTTGCGCGCGAGCGGTTGATTTAGGGACCCCCTCTTCAACGGTGTAGAGGTTGTAAGGCGAACGGACACCCAAACGAACCGACTCAGGCGGTGCAATGCAAGCCCAACCTGAGTCTCTCATCCGTCCCTTTAACTATCCCCTCTTTCAAAGAGTCATATCGTGACATGTCGGCATCTTACTTGCGCACGCCTGGTCACTTGACGATGCATCTTACTCCGCAGCAAAGAGGGTTGTGTTGCGCTGGCAAACAGTCAGCCTGTTTGCTGCCTGTCCTGTTCAATGACAATCGCGTTGCCCCGGTTCAGACTCTCGGCAGGCGTTTTCGCATCCTGGATTTGCCCACTCGACCGACACGTCGGCACCCGGAGAATAGACTGGTAGGATCGGCGGACTCACGTGCTTGTTGTAGTGCACTTTACTATCCTGTACGGATTCGTGACTGAGTGTTGACGTTGTCCTGGCGAAGCCTGAAGGTACGAGTCGTCGAGTACTACTCCGTACAATTGCAGTCCTCAATTGTTCCCACAGCATGGGGCAGCACGAAATAGCCCTGGTGTCACCTTGATTAACAGCGACAAGTGGGCGATGGAGACGAACCAACGGACTGGGCCAGCATGGGCTGGGTAGGTATGTACACTACGAATATCCATAGACCAGGCCGCAGTGTTGGCCCGTCTCCAGAGGCATCCGTTGTGTCGGTGAAGTTGTAAACACGAGCCGACAAATGAAGCAACCGGGGTTGTGATGAATGGAAAAAGTCTTTTTTTCTTCTTTGACAAGGGTTAAGGAACCCTGGTCGTTGGCCGTCATTTCTCTGACCCTGCTCGCAGAATCCTCGCTGCTAGATCTCGCATTCCCAGCCACTCTAGCCGGACAGGCTGTTGCAGCAAGACGAGGCTGTTTAATTGTCGCTCTGGGTGACTGCCGCAGTTCATCACTTCAATTGCTTTTCTTCCCAATGCTTCATAGGGGTCTTGGTCTGCTCGGCATCTTGCAGGAGCGCTCGGACACAGTGGCCACAACTCGTTGATTAAATAGCTTGTTTGGGCGTCGCGGAAGCCGGGACGGTAGGTGATAGTCAGGAGTGTGCTGCTTGCCAACTTGCCACTCCTATCATTGATGGTCCATCTGACAAGGTCAAGGGGCTGAAGGTCAACGCAAAGTTTGAGAGACGCGGAAAATGAGGGCGTCCGTTGGCGAGAATTACAGGCTAGGGCTCGAGCTTGGGCACAGCGAGCTGGTTTCGAGCCAAGTGCCTGAGTGTCCTACGGATGAACAGTAATTAGTGTATTCGTACGCATAGAGCAGAGTCCCTCGTCCTCTTCTTCTTGCCCCCTTTCCCCCGTCAGCGCCGCAGCTTTCCACTGCTGAGCCCAGAACCGAGGTCTACCCCAGTTTGCAGGACATGAGTCTCCGTACAAATATAGTGGATTGATGACGGCTGGTCCCTGTCCAAAACCATGTGGCATGGCTGGTAGTCTTCCCCGAGCTGCATCATTGCGCCCAAAATATTCCTCCACCACGGGATAGGTGAGGGCAACATCTGCCTGGTGTCTCTACTTGGGACACGGGTGCATTCTAGTTACAGTTGGCAACACTTCGGTAACCTTATGCGAAGAGGATGCTTGTTGCGATGGACGATCTTCTCGTGGCGTCGTGAACTACCCGTATTCAATGAGGAAGTATTGGCTAACCCTGAATACACCAGAGCAATTGTACCAGCTGTGTCATGCCCACTGCCGGGGCTCTTGGGACCGGAAGCCGGGATACCTCTTCCCTCAATCCATTTCCGGAAACAGAGTTTGCCATTGTCTGCGATCTCGCGCTGCGCAGAGGTGTGCCGTGCTGGGCAGGTTGGTTGTTGCAGCGGCGTGGAACTGTTTCCATCTTCCCTTACTGCTCTCCTCCAAACAAAGCGTGACCGGATAGCATCCGCGCTTTCGCCGTTGGTGAACCCAGAACAACCCTGGCTCAAGGTGGCCATAGCCCTGGCGGCAACTGTTATCGTGCAATTTGGGAGTGATGTCGACCGCCGAAGAAGAAAGCTGAGCCTGGAGCACCCGTACTGAGCTACCACGAGCACCAACAAAAGTCGGCCCGCAAAACGAAATGGCGGTGATCCCCTCCAAGGTACATCACAATCAGGGAAATTGGCTTTCGTTTCCACGCTAGGTCAGGGGTACCCAGTATCGAATCCCAGTAAAGCGTCCAAGCACCCCCATACAACCGTTCCTCTGGGCCCTGATCGGGCGAGTGCCGGAACTGGTGCCGAAACGCAAGGTAGCTGGTTCTGAGAATGTATCAGTGCAAAGGTACCGTTTTGTATCCTCTCGTTCTCTCCTCACCGGTCCCGTTTTTTTCGTGGCCCTCCGTCGCCGACTATCATCATATCCATCTTTCGACAGGAAATTTCACTCCGTCGTCAGGAAACGACAAGGAGAGTATTCGTTGCGGAGAGGGCCTAGTGACTCGCTTCTCCCCTAAGGTAGACAGAAGAGCGGCAGACCAAGGAGAAAATGCGATGGATGGCTGCATCTTGTCCCGTGCATGCTTCATCAGTAGAAAGCAGTTCGTGGAGCTCTTAGAAAACTGTGGCCAAACAGAGTTCCGGTCCGGGGAAGAGGGCGACTAGCTACAGGCAGGGGGGTCAAATCATGGATGTAGGTATGTCATGCAGGTGATGCTCAACTAGACCTCCAAAGTTCAACCAGATGTTGGCAGCTTTCTACCAAAACTTTGACGTCGTTAATCGATGGGGCAGCCTAATCGCCCAAACTCTATCGGCTTCGTTCAAGCAGTTGTGATGGATTCACCACCGCAATGGAGTGCCGGTAAATAGTTCTCTTCCGGACGAATCAATACTGGACAATTGTGTCTTGCACCCGGGGTCCTAGGAGATGCGACAGCCCGGTTAGGATCGTGATCTCAACGGATAGCATCATGTCCCACTTGTAAGTGAAGACAGTACTCCGTAGACAACAAATATTCCGGGGTCCAGTGCGCCATAACTTGTCATTTTCGAGATCGTACGACAAACAGCTTGCTCATCTTACTAGCATCCGTACCACATCCTTAGAGTTGGCACTGCACTCGCTGGTCTGGAGCGAAAAGCACTACCGACGAGCTTGTTGCAAACTTGTCCGAGCGGCCAACGGTATAGGTACGAAAAAGTACGCATCCTCGCTCTTACGCAATGTTCTCTAGACCCGGATGACCGGATCTCAGGGGTAGTGGAAAGTCTCCTAGCCCTTCGCCACGCGGCGCTTGGCGACCCATCAAAGGGGAGCAGCCGAATGGCTGGGGATGTGCTCCCAGTTCTCCCTTGACCGAGCCTAGCTAAATCCGCGTGTAGGCGGGATCCAGAAAAGGGGTGGTTCACTTCCGATGGGACGGCCGGTTTGGAATTGTACAACCACATGACCTGTCAACGTCAGGAACGGGGCTCGCTAGTTGAAGCCAGGTCAGGATGAGTCCCTGCTTGAAAGGCTGATCATAGAACCTTGACTCCTGGTCGTCGGTTTCAGAATCATCTTCGGTCTTGCCGGGGAGGGATCCTGGTGGCCACCATTTCGTCTCCATGCTGATGCTTCGAAGACTTCTGTGGATCCTTTGGAGCTTCTCTACCACTTCCTAAATGAGGTTGAGTGGGTTTTGAAAAGTCACCCGCTGCGTACGAATATTGCTGCCCTCGGTCCACAGGGATGGTGCGGTGTATTGTGTACGGAGTACGGATAGTTGGCGAGACGGTGAGAGAGGCAACGAGGCAATTCTCGGGTGTTTTGGGTGCAGCCTGCGTGGTCGGCAGGCCGATTATCTGCCTTTTGCCCAATAACAGCCAGCGGCTAGCTTGATAATGAACAGCGTAAATGGGTTGAGATGAGTGTATTGCATTGTTGATCATAATACGAGCGAATTCACGTACTTTCTCTCCTGGCTCGACTGTTAATCGCTGGGCAGCAACTTGCAGTCCGGTCGGGTGGAAAGCCCCGCGCACGCGGAGGTGACGACAATGTAAAAGACCTGCCGACCAGCGCTCTGGAAGTTTCCTCACCCCCGGCGGTATCATCTCTTGCTGGCGGCGCTGGACCTGTCGTCTGGGTTGCTGGGTACGGGTACTCCTGGGATCCCGGGTTGAGTGGGGGAGGATAGCAGGGGTTGCTCCCAAGAAACCCAACGGCCGGGTTGATTGCGAGGAGCACTTTCAGGGTCAAACAAGCCCGTGGTTTGCAGCAAATTTATCCAGCACGGGGGAGTACGCCCGCTTGCCGGACGAATCGTAAGACCGCATTTCCCACGGTGATCACTTCGCGTAAAGGCGAGACGACTTCCAAGTCGGAGAGGCGGCGCGAGCACGAGCGGAGCCCCAAGCTTTGTTGCGTAACGTATCCGTATCCTCAGAGGACGGAAGCGTGCCACGATGTGGTGTCCCGTCCTTCCCGTCCCAATTGACTGGAAACTGCGGGCTGCATGTACCAATGCTTGCATCGAGGTCATGCTGTACGTTGTGCGCGGCGAAGCGGGCACAGCGGGCACAGCGGGTAGACGATGCTGGAGGCTGGAGCAGGCGGCTGCTGCAACCTGGGGATTAGGTCTTTGGGTGTAAGTGTTGCGTAGGTAGTGCGTAAGTTACAGGTGCGTTTGTATCAGCTGTCGCATTGGACTCTGAGCTTTGCAGGTAGGTTGTGCCCCAAATGGGGCCTGATGGCTTGATTGATGGGCAGTCAAGGTCGGCATGTCTCAGTCCTGACAGGCTGTCTTGTCTGTGTTCTCTGTCATGTCAGTTGTCGTCGATCCGGAGGGTCTGTCTCAGTTGTGTCGATTGGCGATTGACTTTCTTGGGTCAACAACCAGGCGGCCACTGAGGGGTGCGGGCCGATAAGAATCGGTCAAGAGACTCAAGACTTGGGCATGAAGAAATGGCTCCGACCACAGCGGTATGGATACCCATCGACTTTGGTTTCGCCCAGTGGTCGGCAGGTGAGATGTGGGTGGCATAGTCGGAGGCGGTGGTGGGAGAATGCTGCTGGCGAAAAGGAAATCGATGAGCGGAAAAAGGAAGCATACGTCCAAGGGTGAGATTTGGCGGTGGGCGTGATGCGCGAGGAGTGATGTAGGGTTGACCGAGACTGACAACGTTGCTTTTTCCGCTCTGGCAACCTAGCAAGCCGCCTTGCGGGCCAAGATGTTCTCTTCTCTCCGCCTCGACCACTTCCTTTTTCCTCCGCTCTGCGACCCGCCCGCCTTTGTCGTGCCGTTTGGTTTTCTCACTCTGTTGCATAACACGACTTCGTTCCCTTCTTAGCCGTGGTTGTCGATCCGAGATGCGTCTCTTTGGGGTCCCGAACTTGGATGCAGTCGGTGAGGCAACGGGTTCGACAAGGACGGGAGTATGGGTAGACTCTAGGAACCAGCCGTACGCACGTAACGTCCCGTCCTGAATCCTTGACTGGTCTTTTTCTGCCTGGACGGTGGACCTGCCACTTACACGTTTCTTCTTGTGGGCAGGAAGCTCACAAACTTAGACACGCAGACAATAGAACATGCAGATACGCAAGCGTAGCTGATGCTGGCGCTGGTAATGGCTGGGTCGTGGTTTTCTCAGGTGCAGCAGCACCTGCCCAAGACAGTGAATCTGCACAAACACACCTGCCTGAGATTAGGAAAAACATCAGTAGACACGCAGCGCATCTTGCCTCGTATGTATGGGATCATGCTGCGCGAAGCAGAAGGAAGGCACGTTGTATGCGAAGATCGCGGGTCGTTAAGGCCATGTGCCTTTGGAAAAAGCAAGGAGCACAAAAGAAGGGAAGCAGAGATCAGAGTCTCATTCCACGTTTGGCTGAGGTGCGGATACCTTTGGTGCGGTAAAGGTACCCAGCCTGGGAGGATGTACATACCATCCCCTCCTTCCCACCCGAGTCTTTCCAGTCCTTCGAGGCTTTCCCCAAGATCCGACCCCCCCCCCCCCCAGCTTACCTAAGACATGGGGTACTGGGTACGTCGGTGTAAGTGGACAAGGCAGGCACGAAGCACTTGGAAAGGTATCCAGGTACGGAGTACACGCGAATACCTCGACTCAACTCACCTAACCTCACTTTCATTCCTGGAGATGATTTTGACCGCATGTCCTTGTTCAAAGGCGTTCTGGGTGTTTCGATTCTGACCCTTCAGCCGTTTGCCGTTCTGCGCATGCGATCAATGCCTTAGTACAACACCACAGGTGCCCCCAGTTTCCAGCATGAACTACGTGGGAAGACACAGCCGAGGACGGGAATGTTTCTCGGCAATCTTCTACCAACGCGGACCAAGCTGACCTTGGCCTTGGTGCAGCTTGCGAATGCCCTCAGTGGGATCCACCCCACCCTCAGTCGGGATTCTTTACCAGTCCTCAATCCTCCCCGACCTTCGATCTGCCTTCCGACTCTCGCCTTCCTGCAGCTTACCGCCTCATCTCGATGCCTCAAGATGCTCAGAAATGAAAGAAAGGGAAAAAACAATGCAGTGGGCATCAGTTGCTGCAGGAGACGGCTGCCTTCTTCCCTGTCCTGCAGTCGTTCGCTCTTCTTTCCCATGCTTCTGCCAAGATGGGCACTTGCTTGTCATCCCTACATTGGCCAGCTGTTCGGCAAAAGTCAATAAGCTGAGACCTTTGTCCTGCCAGGTAACTCGTGATCTGCGTCTGTCATATCACGAACTAATGTCTCGCAGAACATCACCTGATCAGTCTTCCTTCTTGGGCCGCAGCATCAAGCATGTCGCCGCATGCCGCATGCCGTTTTCCGCCTACCGCCTCGCTGGCCCGTCATTCTCTCGCGATACCTGCGAGACCTGCAAGGGGACCTACAGTGACCGTCAACTCGGTGTGTTGATACTACCCAATCCCCTCCTCGGCCACCTTTACTCGCCCACTCTCGCCTGCCAGCTAGCCAATCTGCATGGCTGTCACTGTGCGTGCCCAAAGCACATCAAACCATTCGAACCGAAAACCGGCCGTTGATCCAAGTATCCTCACGCCCAGAGTCGCATCTCATCCCGCACTTCATTGCATACGGGCTGAGCTAAGCTGTTCATCCCTTGATTTGATCACGCTATCAAACGCCTTATCCGTGAAGTGAGTATACGGTATCCCTGCAGTCAACCCCGGCATCCGTCTGCATCGACGGCAGAAGTCAAGTCAAACTTCGAGCTACAGCATACTGGCAACATGGCATTTTGGCCCCCATTCTCGACTGCTTGCTGGCTTGCTAATTAAAGGTCACGCTACCTCGACAAACAACCCCAAGACCACCCCGTCACCCACCAGTATGCATCATGTCCATCACCGCCGAGCCGTTCACACAAAAGGAACGCTTGAGGGACGGCTCACATTCAGGCGTTGGACTGCGAGATACCTTTTCTGGGGTCGGCTTCTGCCGCCGCTTTCAGACGTTCTAACCTAGATGCACGAAGGCGCTTGCCTCAATCAACACCATCACTTCCGACATGGTACCATTTCGCATCATGGCACCCTCCCACTTGCTGCCCAATATTCTCAAATTATGCTAGTTGCTTTGCTTTCTTGAGGCGTAAGCAGCTGGCTCCTGCTTCGACTCGATCTACTGGCTCTCCATCAGATCATGTTACGATCTGCCATTTTTCAGGGCATACAGACGACGCCCAGGCCCCCATCTCGAGGAGCGCAATTGCTATGTCTACCTACTAGGCTGGTCTGCACACCGAAGAGCCACGAATTCCGAGCCTGGTAACTTTCGCAAACCTGGCCCGAATGTAGGCAACCCTTGCAGTATCACTCCGGGTCAGTATTAAGTTTCTTCAATAAGGGCGCCGGTGCTTCCTAGACGACTGAGTCATCTTCCTGTCCCAACATCTGGCAACAAAATGTCAACATCGTGGGATGTATCTCATGATGCGACCAAGCAATCTGCTGCTGCAGTTAGCATAGTTTTGGTCTGCAGCACTGACTACTACCCACTTCTATGGGGCGGCCCGATGCCGTCCACGACAAGTTCCCGCTTCAAAAACGCCCTAACCCTGGAGCACACTTTCAAAATCTGAGCAGTGACGAAGCTCCGCCATGCATATGCGCCGGAAACGACGCGGTTTCCACGATCCAGGTCCCTTCCTTACTGACTCGTTTCGAGTATCCCCGGTGGCACAATTGGCTAGCGCGTCAGACTGTTAATCTGGAGGTTCGTGGTTCGAGCCCACGCCGGGGAGTTGCTATGGTTTGACTCCATTGTACAAGGGTTGGCACGCATCTTTTTCACAAAATCTTTTTGCCAGCTGCTTACTTCAATGTTCGAGCTGGGGTATGTACGAATTGGATGCACCTCATCCCATTGAGTTGATGTTTCGTTGACTATAAGCTAGGCACACTCTTCAGCTCACGGCGAGTTTAGCTTTTTATACATATGTATATATATAAAAGAACATTCGTGGCACCTCATGCGCATGAGAGTATACCTTGAGTGTAAGACGATTGATTAGATGCACGTGTCTGTCCTCCTAGCTTCTCAATGTCCCCATAGCTGTATCAGCTAACTCCTCAGTGCAGATATACATGGCGTATGAGTTTCAGCTTCATATCTACAATAATGCAGGGTCTGCTGAGTACTGATCTGCTGGAGGAGCGCGAGCCTTGTCTTGTTAGCGACCTTGGAAAGGGAAATGGATTATGTTGTTGACCATACCCACGGGCATCAGCTGATCCTGGCTAGGTAGCCCTCGCCGCAAACCTTTCATGCCTTTGAGCTCTGGCGTTACACTCTTCGAACGCTTGCTTTTTGCTCCTTATAGCTGATGATTGGAGTCTGTGCAACTGTCGGCTCAGGAATCCTTGTTCAGACACATGAAAGAGGAACAAGTAGTCCGTACTCACCTTCGGTCAGTCGACTCACCGGCTCGGTAGGTCGCCAGAAACAGGGTTCGCTCTGTCTACCTAGGAAAGGGGGTGCTTCTCCACCGCAGAATCATTAGGCTGGAAGCCTTAAAGCTTGACTCCCACATTGGGTTCTGCGCGCGCGCGCCCCCCTGGTAAGTTTTCCCCGTAATCGATATGTGACATGTCACTTACCAACTCGTTACAGCCCTGTACATAGATCTCTCACCGCCTGCAAGCCCATCTCTTTTCTTACATTGACACCGTGAGCTGGGAGTTTGCAAGGGTGGCCTACACCAGAGCCAGCAGGATGAGCAAGGGGACTTGGCAACCTAGCCTGCTCCCTAGGAGCGGAATTTCCGGGCTCAAACTATATCCTAACAGGGTTCGAAGGCCAACTCCGTATTCCACACGTGCTTCTTGGTTCCGTCAGTCCGCGAGTGTACAGATATGAAGACATTCAACAACTATTCTTCAAGCCTGGCAGGTGATGTCAAGCGCCTGGGGAAAGGATGGCGTCACGTCATACGACTATTGTCACGACCAGACGTCGTGCAATTATCCCCGCAGGCTGCCCGGCTAAGAGCAACAAACCTGGCTAAGGTCGCCTTGCTCTCTCAACTTGGCATCCATGCTTGACCTTGGAAACTCCAAATGGGTGGCTAACTGCCCTTGAGCACTCCCGTGGTCGACTAGGGGGTCCGGGGCGTCCGGATGCCTCTGTGCTCAATACTTCACGGGAAACAACAAGGTGACGTTACGGTTGCTGCGATACGTGGCTGCCATGGGTCCCACTCCAGGTCCTAGAGCCAGTGATTACTTGCTTACACCGCTGATTAGACCGAAGCAAAATTCATTGTCAGCCCAGGGAACCGTGAGCCTCAATACGGTTGACGACGTTCTGAACCCTGCTCAAAGGGGTGGTTCGCCCGTTGACTCACCGAAGTTCAGATCAAGGCATATGCCACGGTTGATCAGCCCTAGACAACAGACCTTGACGGGCCGGGCCATAGAAGCTTTCGAGCCACCCTTCACAAGGCTCAGGGGTGAAAGTGTTTTGAATTATCCGAGACTATTCTGGAACTTCTGCTCCGTACCGACAGGAATCTTATTCTGCCCCCCGGATGCTGAAGGTCGTGGAGTCTTTGCCAGGCGCTCTTCCGTGTGGTCAATCATCGACACAGCACCACAACACCGCGGACACGTCAGACCGGAGGGCTGACGTGGACACAAGGAGCCGTGATATATTGACAACCCTGGAGACAGAGACACGCGGCATAATATCACTGATAGAAGACACCTGAAATGGATTTGAAGATGTGTGATGGCGAGCTGGACCGTCGTTTGCACCTCCAAGAATCGAGTCGCATTTGTCTCTGCTCGCGCTCTAGTATATTCCTACTCGTTCTGTTTTCCTATTTTGTCAGGGAATTTTTTTTTACAAAGAAAGCATCAGGGGATTAACTGCACAGCGTTCAGACAGCAACCTATGCCGTGTATGCTGCCTATTTGGTGTACTTCATCACTCACTGTGGCATATGTCTTGCCGAGAATAACATTGGGCGCACCTTCGGTAAACATCCGCCTGCCTCTCTAGCAACCCACATAATGCAAAGGTTGGGCGTATGCACGTTATCCGTACATTGATCGCCATTAGTACTCTGTCACAGCGGGTATGATCCAGGAAGGACAGTGTGACCTTTGTTGTGTAGATGTAACCGCTGGGTTCCGGTTGGTTATCGCCCACTTATTTGCTGCGGAACCAACCAACGAACTATGGATGCGCATTCTTGTGTAACAGAAGAACAGAAGATTCCATTCCTGACGTTGCCGACAGAGAGTCAGGCTTGTGGTGGTGAAGAGGCAACACTGCAGTAGCACCAAGGGGCTCATTACGCAGGCGCGGTCCGATGAGCCTGGGACAGATCTATTTCCAGGGTCAATCGTCCAGTCACTAAAGACAACCCTGGGAAAACATATGAAAAGCTGCCAGACTTAGCAACGTCTCAATTCCTGCAAGCTCTAAGCCCCCAGAAAGAAAGTGGCACGTGGCACAACTGGACGGACCTACGATGGCAGGCCTCGATACCGAAAAGGGCAGGGTACTGCAGGTCATGTTCACCGAAGCTCCCTCTGAGTGGCTGATGTGTCAACTCGGTGAAAGCACAGGCATGAGTAGCTCGGTACGTGGTGATTAGGTCCCTGGTACATGTTTGTGCGCGGGCGCGGAAGAAGGCGCGAAGGGGGCGCGAAGACATGCATCAATGTAAGCTCACCAAACACGGGATGCTGATTTGAGTAGCACAATGAAAGACGCTTCATGCCCAATGTATGGACTGGATCGGATAGATTGGCGTTGGACAGGCGGAACGAAGGGATATGACTCGATCTGTTCAAACAATGGTCGGGGGATACGGAAGACGCTATCCGGCTTTCGTTCCGTTTGTAGGGACCGGTAAAGAGAGGAATAGAGAGAAAGAGAGTAATCTAACGGCGAGTAACTTGCATCGATGCCGGCCTACTCAATCTTGCCTCGTGCGTGCGAGTTATCGAATGCTGTGCTAATGAGGATTTAGATGGTCGGGGAGGACGACAGGCGATGCTGCCATGCGCGGCGTATAATATGTAGCTGCCTACCTTACTTTACATGTGCCAATAGCTTGAAGGGAAAGTATCCATATAAGGTAAGGTAGGTGTTTATAGATGCGTATAGGTAGGTAAGTAATACGGATAGGTAGGTTCGAATGAATATGTAGGTATTCCGTAAGGTAAGTCAGGTAGGTAGTCAGTCAGTCGTATGGTGTGACGCACGTTTGCAAACGGGCGGGCTGTCCCCACTATCGCCCGCACGGTGTGTTGCACAAAGACCGACACTGTACCTCGGTTGCGATTTCATCACCGAGATACCTTCATTGTGTGAGGCACTCGCTGCTTCAGCTCCCTCGGTTCGACATGACATTTGAATCCGTGCGACATGAGTAGATGAAGTAGAATGAGGTAGCTGGAAAACACGAGGTGGTAGCTGCTGGCATACCCCTAAAGCCATGCTGTGGCTACCTACGCACCGAGTCCTCGAGCGATCGTGTCTGTTGGTCGCCGTCTCCAAATCTGGTAGAGGCTATCTGTCCCGGTCATCCAATGCTTGAGAGCCACAATTTGCATCGGATGAAAAGAGCCTGAAAACAATACCTGCAAGAGGTACTAGTCCGAGGTGCCTTTATTGGAAAAGGACCCGGCTACCCACCTCAAGGCAGGTACCGTCCAAATCACCGGCTTTTACACTGTCCATCACCCTCCCGCCAGCTTCTTTTGACGACCTCACCCCATTCATCCCTGGCCCGCCGCACCGGCCCTAGCTACTTTACACCACCTTACACCAGTGAACACGGAGGGTCCAACGCTACGCTACCTTACCTCCCTCACGCTCCGCTCCGCTTTACCCATTCTCCATTTAGCCCATAGGTCTGCGGAGGAGACAACGACATCCAACTAGTTTTCTCCCCTCTCCCATCTCCCCTCGGGTTTCACAACATCCCTCAAACGCACCACTTGCTCGACTGCAACATCCCGGGCACTAGACACGAACCACGCACGCGGCCATACAGAGAAGCAAACTACCTTACATAAAGCACACGCATACGGACGACTGTTGCAAACCCGTGCATCGCATCGCATATCGCGCATATCGCCGACCAGTGACCGAACCAGACACCCAGCATCACAAGGAGACAACATGGCTGGCAAGAAGGGAGCAGGTGAGAATAGCAAAAAGGCTGCCGGGAACGCCCGTAAGGCCGATGCTGCTGCACAGAAGGCCGCTGCCGAGGACGCGAAGAGGGCTGCCGTTGAAGACGCTGACTGGGGCAAGGGCGCCAAGGGAGCTGGAAAGAAGTGAGTAGGAGTCACGAACAACGTTACGGCAACCTCCCCTCGGCCGCCACGATGTGGTGTCCCACATGCGACACCACCGGCTTCCATGCATCACGTTTCCCCATCTCTCGAGATCTCCAGTACCCCACAGAGAGGAAACCAACCCAGTGCCATGGCTGACCACATCATCCATCCTTTAGGGAAGCGGAAGCCGCCAAGAAGGCAGAAGCAGCCAGAAAGAAGGCCGAGAAGGATGCGCTCCTGAAAGAGGAGGAGGCCAACACCCCCGGGCGGACTGGACCCAAGAACAACAAGACGGCCGTCAAGAAAACACGTGGGCTCGATCTGTCACAGTTGGACGGCGATCAGAGCGGAGGCTCGCTTGCCGCGCTCAACGCCACCGGTATCGACAACGCCCTCGACGCCCTCTCCCTCACAGGCTCCGACAACAACGCAAAGATTGACCGCCACCCCGAGCGACGTTTCAAGGCGGCGTACGCAGCATTCGAGGAGCGTCGGCTCAAGGAGATGGAGGACGACGGCTCGGGCCAGGGCCTGCGTCAGCAGCAGAAGAAGGACAAGATTAGAAAGGAGTTTGAGAAGAGCCCGGAGAACCCCTTCAACCAGGTGAACGCGAGATTCGACAGTACCAGGGAGGAGTTGGCCGAGATCAAGGCGAAGGAGAAGGGCAAGATCGAGGCCCGCCTCGGGAAATAATGGCCCAGTAAGAAGCCTCTCGCGCAAGTCATTATTCATCCCTTCGAAGGCATCACTGCTTTGGGGGGCTACATGTAAACGTGGCACAAAGATGCCAGGGCTGTAAGAGTGACGAGCATCAGTCACCTGCATATTGGGATATCAACTCTCGGATGTGAATAGATCATGAGACCAAAATTTTACCCCTCTATTTCTGAATGGATCGATGCCATCGTGGGGTTTCCTTTTGCCCAAACGTCATTGTTGTGTGCATGGCCGAATCACGTTGCGATTCGCGAACCCTCGTATACACAGAAAATTGAGAACTCAGTAATTCACGCCTCATCCACTGAAATTTCTCTCCGCCCGAGCCGCCAGCCTCGACAAGAGTGACGCCGACGCGACGGCCGAGATGACCGAGATCGCTACACCTGCCGTGAACACTTTTTGGCGGGGTAGCTTGTGACGTACAGTGTAGGTGGGGTAAAAACAGCCCTCGCCATCACCGATAAGATAAGATTTCACTTATCACGATAAGGATTTGGGCCGGCAGAATTTCTTACCGCTTTTCATGACCGCCCTTGCTTCACGCATGAATGAGACATTGTTCAATGTCTCAAGACGGGCTTCCTCTCATCGCGGCACATTCATCCTCATCAAGCCCTTATTTTTGATGCTTTATTTATAAGAAAAAATGGCGAGTCTACGGATGGGCAGCATGCCGTCGTTGCGGCGACAGCACCTCCTGGCCGAATTGTGAGTTTCCCCCAAACCCAGACCCCATCGAGCGTCACCCCCTGAGGTCTGATTTAAGCGTGCAAGTTGCTAACCTCTGTACACTAGTGCTGGTCTGAAGCAGGCTTGTCCGGAGGGGGTCTTTGTGAGCTTGACGCCAGGAGACCCGATGCTATGGTCCGGCGTCATGTTTGTGAGGCACGGTATGGAAGCCCCCGGACTTTATTCACGATGAGAGAGGAAGACCCAGAGTGAAGAGAAGAACGGAGAGAAGACTGAGACTTATTCGCAGGACCCTACGCTACGGCTATCCTGAGATTTCAGATTTCGTTCCCAGACACATATCCTCGACTACCGCCACTGGTCACTTTTTCAACAGACATTTTCCACCCCCTAATCACACCATTAACCACGTACATGTACACCACCGACATTCAGGACAACGGCACGGTAAGCGCCACCGACGCAGAGCGCCTACCGCCCGGAGGTTTCAGTCTACGACATGGGTTTCCCGCTTGGTTTGGGCGGGGCAGCAAAAGCAACGCGGGGAGCCGACAGGTCAGCGGCCAGCAGCAACAACAACCGCCCGCGACGCCTGCCAGAGGCGGTGGGGAGCCACCCAGCACTACGTCGACGCCGAGCTCAAAGGCGACGCCTCTCGGAGGACGGCCTGGGTATCTCGACACTTCGAGGCGAGAGGTCTCCACGTACGAGGTCTTGCGATATATCCGGAGCACGTTCGATGACGAAAAGGTGCTAGACTCGGTGCCTCTCGAAGCTGCGGGAAACCCCGGCGCGTGGCATGCGTGGCGGACACGTCAGCGACAGACGGGCAAGAGTTTTCCTGGCGATCCGGTACCGCAGGAGAAGAGTGAAAAGGAGCAAGAGAGCGACAAAGTGGCAGAGGCTGCTGATGGTGCTCAGGAGAAGAAGGAAGGCGAAGCGGAAGGGGAAGAAAAGGTGGAGGAGGCGCCGCCTCCGCTGCCTGAGAGGAAGCCTTCCACCAGCGGGAGTGTTCACTCCATTGTTAGGAAACCTATCGGTAGTGCGCCTTCCGTCTCCAGAAAGCCTGGGGAATGGAATTGGGAAGGCGTTTGGGAGGATAGAGTACAGAAAGGCATCGCGACGTCCCTGTCTGAGGCGGTCTTGTACGGGGCGACGTCGGGTGGTGATGACCTGGTGAGTGACCTTTCTTCTCTTCAGATGCGTGAACCATGGACCTAGGATGGCTGCTGACCATGAATGATAACAGATCAACTTCCTTGCAATGGAGGAAGGCGACGTGGACGCTGTGAGAGAAAACTTGCAGCGTACACTGGGAAGCAGCCCGGCGACACCTGAAGAACGTAGAAGCATGCAGGGCGTGCCTGCGTCGGAATGACGGATTTGACTTTGCTTGAAAGCGACTACCTCTAAAACTTCATGACATTACCTAGCTCACCTAGCATGCACGTTCACCTTCCCCTGTAGCGGATGGGATGTAGACTTGCCTGCGTAGGTACATTCTCCTCTTCCACATAGCCTTACTACATACAACCTTTCAATGGCCCCTGAATAATAGATCATCATTCCAAGACGTCAGATCATCACGTACATTACTTACCGTCTCGTTGCTTCGACTATGGGCCTCTCAACTCCCGTAGCCGCAGTTCTCATCGTTCTCGTCACCGTCGTACCCATGCTACTCATCGCAGGCTTCACCGCCCGCTTCATCTCACGCAACTTCAGGGACGCAGCCGGTGCCATCGAACCCAAGCCAGCGAGACGCTGGTTCGGCCTCCGACGCGTCAAATCGAACGACAGCGCCACCACCAGCCTCGCAACCAACACGCTACGCTACGCCGACTCGTGGCCGGATCTCGAAAGTCTCAGGACGTACCAGGACACGCCGACACCTTCGATCCAGCGCGGCATCCACGAGGTAGCCTTGGTGCCCCAACAGGCCATTACTACCACGGTCCAGATCCAGCCGCCGCCCGAGACATGGCATCCCTCGAGGGCCAGTCGTTTGAGCTGGAGTTTCTCGCCAACAAGGCGGAGGACGGATCGGAGAGGGGCGGTCCCGAAGTCCCGCAGCCGCTCAAGGTTCTCAAGAGACTCGGGCGTGGTTCTGGAGGGGAGTCCCGAGGAGATGCAAGCGGCTCGCGATCAGTTGCCGAGACTGACGAGGGTGTAGACGGTGTCCCGGGACCGTTTGGCGAGTCACTCGTTGTGAGGAAGAAGCGAGGGAACCATGGGACCGGGAAGATGCCTCGTTCGAAGAATGGTGGCTAGGAACATTCTTCACCTAGCGGACGGCCACAAGCGCATCGTGAGTCTGGATTCGAGATTGAATAAGACTTGCTAATCTCGATCAGGACCACCAGCTTGGGATAAGTTCGTTTCACATGCTATTCCTGGGCCATTCGATGACGATGATGGCCTTGAGGCAGTGTCCCAAGCACCACAACGCCGTGCTTCTAATTTCATGCGGTCTTCTAGTAACTCGTCTCTGGCTGCCCAAGCCAGCACTTCATATCACTCAAATATTTCAGGAGAGAGAAACACGTCTCACAGCTCCCTTGTGCTCGTACCGAAGATTCGTATCACCCCAGAAATCAGGGCTCTCGATGGCAGCACGGCAAGCTTCTGGGTTGCCGTCGAGGTTTCAGGCCAATTGTGTCACTCTCTCAACGGCTTACTCTGCGATGATACCTCTGCTGAACATGAGTCTGCCTTGCTGAGCAGACTCAATAATCAATCTTCTACAGGTATGTAGACGTGAATTTCGATGTTGATCTCCATGCTAACATCAACTTAGATCCTTTCAGGCATGGGTGTATACACAGCATGGATATCCAAATCGTTCCGCTTGGAAACAGTTGTATTCTTGAGACAATTCGGGATGATCCTGTCCAAACGTGAGTACTTTCACCGGGTGTTTCTGATAATTGTCTGATTGTGGCACAGAACACTAGGTAATAACGACATTGTACTGCTGCTCGCGCAAGTCCTAGTCAAATCGCCTCGCTCCACTGCCGTGACTACGCAGCAAGGCCATGTCAAACACAGGTCAGATGAGCTGATTGATGACTTGGAATATCAGTTAGGAGATTCAAACCTCGAGTATATACGCGTTTCGGTCAAGTACAACCATTCAGCATTCTTTTGCCAAAGTCGAAATGACATCATCGACAACATAGCAGAAGGCGGCACAAAACTAGAAACGTTTGCTACGGCCATCGTCAAGCAACATAATCACCGATCACCATGGTCCCCAAGTCCAGCCCCAACATACAATCCCATTGCGAGCATCATCTGTGGAAATTGGGGGCCATCGAAAGCTCGTAATGCGATTCATCGTATATCACCACAAAGGCCCCACAGGGCGAAGTCCAGGATGGACTTGTCTTTGGGAGACGAACCAATCGATATGCTGAGTCCTCCGGTAATTCCTAGGCGAGAGGCAAGCCTCGGTAGAGACGTGACAGTCAGAAAACCAGACGCAATGTATAATGGGTGGTCTGCCGGGCGTCGGAGGACGTTGGCAGTGGACTTGGACTGGGGTAGGCCCCGCGCGGAAGAAGTCGCGGAAGAAGGGAAGCGGTGGCCATCAACTGCAACGTGCCCCGGCGAGGCGGCAACCGGAGCCGGATTCAAGAATAGGTTTGCGAATCATTTGACCGCATTGAGAAGCCCGCGCTCGATAGGCCCGGGCGTTTTGAGAGGCTTGGCATCTTCAGTCGCCGGCACCCGAGATGAAGGTCATGAAGCAGAGAACAGACAGGCGCATGGAGGAGAGTCCCCTCGCGGCCAGAGAAGAAAGTCATTCAGCCGTTGGAGTTGGACGAGCTGGTGGTCTTGAGAGGGCTCGCAGCTTGTGCTTTTTCAGTCTTGGTTTATAGGAGTAGGAGGCATACATGCACACGTGTGCGTCTAAGAGTATTCGAATTAGAAGCACCCGAATTACGATTCGTATGGTGTTCATTCACCCTTTTCACTATGATTTTGTCCGCTGACGCCTGAATGATTAATGCTTTTCTTTGTTTTTGTTTTGGTATACGGTTTTATGGTTTTACGTTTTACTTTTTTTACTCGATTTCATGCAGCCGTTCTTTACTGCAGCTCATCTCTCCAAGGAATGGATGTTTGCGCGCCCTTACGCTCGACCGTCTTGGCCGCCGCATTGTTGGCGCTCTTGATGGCGGAGGAAATGTCGAAAGCCACACCCTTGGCCTGGGCGGTCACGGCGGCAACGCAGTAGGAGCCGACAAAGGTGTCGCCGGCGGCGGTGGTGTCGACGACCTTGACCTTTTGGGCGGCGATGAGCTCGGCGGCGCCCTCCTTGTTGGCGTAGTAGACGCCGCGGCCACCGAGGGTGATGATGACGTTGCTGACCTTCTTGGCCATGAACCACTCGCCGACGCGCTTGAGGCCCTCGGAGGTGTCGAGCTCGGACTCGTCGCAGCCGGAGAGGATGGCGGCCTCGGTCTCGTTGACGACGAGATGGGCGAGTCCGTCGTAGGCCTCGTCAGGGAGGCGCTGTGCCGGAGCGGGGTTGAGGAGGACGGGGACGGAGGCGGCCTTTGCGGAGCGGAGGGCGGCGAGGACGGTCTCGAGGGGTACCTCGAGCTGCATCACCAGCAGGTCGGGCTTGGGGTCGAGGGTCTCGGGGAGGGCGCCGAACTTTTCGGGGGTGACGGCGTGGTTGGCCTCGGGAGCGAGGATGATGCGGTTCTGTCCGGTGGGTTCATCGACGACGATGATGGCCATGCCGGTCTTGAGGTCGCTACCCACGGCGATGCGATCGGTGCGAACGCCGTGCTCGCCGAGGTTCTTGAGGAGGAGGTCGCCGTAGGAGTCGCTGCCAACGGCGCCGATCATGGAGACGGAGGCGGTTTCGGCGGCGGCATCGTTGGGGGCTTCGCGGGAGCGGGAGAGCTTGGCGCAGGCGACGGCCTGGTTTGCGCCCTTTCCTCCAGGCGAAATGACAACAGAGTTCGAGGTGAGGGTCTCGCCCGGCAGGGGGTGGTGGGGGACGTAGGAGGTCAAATCGATGTTGAGGGAGCCGAGAACGGTGATCTGGGGGGTCTTGGTGGCAGCCATTTCTGGCAATTCGATCTTCTTTCTCGGTGTTCGGTTCCTTGTGTTTTCCCTCCTCGGCGATAAAGATGATCAAGATGTCGCCAACGTCAAAGACAACCTGAAAAGGCAACCTGAGATATTTTATGATTCGGATCGTGCGGTCGCAATCGGGTATCTTAATGAGACAGAGGCCTCTCTTTCCGAGCGAAAGAATGCAGCTCGGGTACTGAGGTGAGATAACGGTAGATCAGGTGGTGAGGGGCAGAGAAATGGATGTGAGGCATTGAATTTTCCCAGCCGACGAACGGTGACAGGACCCCGCCAAAGCCAACGCCAACGGAGGTGGGATGATGATGCACTTGGCGGGGCATTGGCTGCCAGGTTCGCGGTTGGAATTCTGTAGCGTAAGGGTGGGAGGGGCAGCCGAGTGATGTTGCAGGGGGGCCGGGTGGGAATCCTCTCCATGGCCTGCTCGAGGGATTGGCCCTACGGACCGGGAGGGACCGGAAAGAGATCCAGTCTTTGCAGTCTTTGCAGATAGTGCATCTTTGGGTTGTTGGCGTTACTGGAGAATTTCCACAGAAAAAGCTGTCAAAGCAGGGAAAACAGACAAAAGGCAGGGTCCACTGTCGGCTAGTTTTTCTCGCTTCTGGTCAGCATGATCAGGTCGTTTGAGGCACAGTGCTGTGCAGTGATTTGATGTGGCAACGCGATACGGTTTCTGACAAGATGTCTATCCGCAGGAATAAAGAGAGATTCAACCCGACACCTTACCTTAGTCAGTTAGAGAGACAGATGCCATGCCTAACATGTCCCCCTTCCCCAATTTTTCCATCCCTAGTCCTTGCCGAAACAAGGCGAAAAGACTGACACCTATGACCTTGGGAGTTCGCAGCTGGGAGGCTGGCACACTGGGCCAGGTACTCCGGACACAGCACATACACAAATAAAGAGCCGAGCCGAAGAACGGTGCCACCTTTTAAGGAGTGGAAGGTTAGTGGAAGCGTATCCGACCCCCTTACTCCGTACCCGTACCGTTCATGCTCAATCCGATCGGGTGTTGCAATGGAACCTGTCAGGTTGTCTTGCCGTCCATTCCTAGACCTTCCAGAAGTTCCAGAAGTTCCAGTCCATCCACCAGCCACCGGACGTCCGCCGAGACGGGCGGGATCTTCAGCTGCTGGGGAGCCACCCATGGATGCCTTGCTCCGTAGACGGGAGAGAGAGAAGGGTCTGGACCTTTGATGTCCCCGTCCGTACTCCGTACCTTACCCAGCAAACAAATCTCGGCCTCCCCTCCGCTGCCTAGATGAAAGAGTGCTAGAGCAGCAGCCATCTTTTCGGCGCCATGGGCGGAATGGCTGCGCTGTTCTTGCCGTGCAGCACTCGGCATCCGCTGACACCGCCGGTTTGGGCGCCGGCTTGAACCGACCGTTTGTTTCGTTCTGTTCGACACGTGGAAGTGAACGACATTACGCCGGATTAGACTTTGAGGGTGCATACGGCATACCGTTAGACTCGATCCCCTATTGTCTCCCACGCCCGCCACGCCATGCTGCATTTGGTGCGCCGTCATGCCTAGGTCCAGGCCGGGGTTGTGTTGGTGTGGAATGCGAGTGCGGCGTGCGTATGTGTGTGTGTCTGAGTCTGTGTGTCTATGTGTGGGTGTGTGTGTGGAGGAAAAAGTGTAGATGTTGTTGGGTCAAGATGGGATGAATGACTTATTTGAGAGAGACAGCGTGTGTGAAGGGACAGAGACGGAATGGGAAAGAGCAAGAGAGACCGAGAGCAAACACCAACATCCTGAACAACTCAAGAAACTGCCCGGGAAAAGCAAAACCAAGAGAAGGCAAGAAGAGAACGAGTGACTTGCGACGTGCCTTCCCTTTCTATGTCACAGAAGTACCTTCCTCCCCTTACCTTCCACCTCACTACCCATCTGCCTCTGCCTGTCTGAGAACGTAAGGTAGGCACGCTCCTGCTCTCTCTCCCATTTCTGCCTCCAGTCATCAGTGGAGAGGTGCTTGCCCCGTCTCCCATCCTGGAAGGCTTCCACCTTCCATTGCTCGACACACGACACACGACACTGCACTCTTATGCGCTCCTGGACCAAGTAGGCAAGGGCCATGTCCTAGACCCAGATGGCCGCCTTCTTCCCGTGTCTTTCACGAATAAGCGGCTTCCTATTCACCGGTTGCCCAAGCTCCATGCCCTTAGCGTCGACTTCATTCACCTTCGACGGCTCTCCTTTGCTGGATGTCTGTTTCCGACTTCAAAACAGCTCTTTACCTTATTCTCGAGCCTCTGTGCTCGTTGCAAGTTTGTCCGGAATCACATCACCGGACTCCTCTTGCCTCTCTTGCTGGTGGACTCGGACCCTCAACCCCACCAACTTCGACTTGTCCAACTTCACAATTCCAATGGACTCGACTCAAAGCACCTCAGCATGGACTACAACAGCCGCTTGTGTAGCTATTGTAGTCCTCCTCATCTTGATAAGACCGCGGTCATCATGGGGCCATCCGCCATTACCTCCGGGTCCGCCGGGCGAGTTTCTCCTCGGCCACCTCCGTGTTATACCCAAACAGAACACTGCCCAAACATACGCAGAGTGGGCAAGAAAGTATGGTGAGTCTGCTTTCTCCCTCTATACACCTCTTTGAGAGTTCTTCGCGACTAACGTAATAATAGACTCGGATGTCATTCACGTCAAATCTCTCGGCCAATCCATCGTGGTGCTTAACAGTGTCGAGGCTGCCAAGGATCTTCTCGATCGTAGGGGGGCCAACTACTGTGACAGACCCAGATTCACTCTGTTTGAGGTGTAAGTCGCCCCGACTTCGACCCTGAGCTATCTTGTCGGCATGCTGATGCAGGCTGCCCCCTCCTTAGCATGGGCTGGGGCAAGACGCTGACCTTCCTGCCCTTCGGACCCCGCTGGCAGATGCACCGAAAGCTGCTGCAGACCACTTTCAGTAACACCAATGTCCGGCAGTGGTACCCTCTGCAGGTCGCCGAGGCCCGCAAATCCGTTCATGGCATCGTCAGCAACCCTGACAGCTGGCAAATGTCCATCAAAAGGTGAACCGCTTCTAGGCTTTGGCTGACTGTTGATACGTAGCTGACCATTCCAGATTCGCCGTTGCTATCGTCCTCAAAGTGAGCTATGGAGTTGACGTTCATGAGGATAACGACCCGTACGTCAAGATTGCCCAAGATGCCATGTACGCAACTGGAAATGGTGGTGCACCCGCCAACAGCATCGTCGACATCTTTCCCCCTGGTAAGTTACGGATGCAACACAATTCCAACCCTCACTCTTTTGGTAACGTTGGCCTTTGTTCTAGCTCGTCATTTGCCCGTATGGCTAGTTCGAGACTGGTCGCTGAAATTCGCGCGAGAATGGGGATGGGCTATACGCAAGTTGCATGACGTTCCATTTGCTGTTGCGCAGGAAGAGTTGGTGAGTGTATGCTCCTAGTCAAGTCCATGCCCGCAGCACTAACAAGTCAAGGCTCGCGGCAAGGACAGCCCTTCCTTCGCACATAGGTTATTGGAAACCTATTCCTCCAACGCCAAGAGAGGACTCGACAATGAATGGACACTTGACGACATCAAAGGAGCAGCAGGCGCCATCTTCATCGCAGGGGCCGATACGGTAACTTTGCTCCTCTCTGATATTTGATACACTGCTGACTCTGACTTGCACCAGACTTGGGCCACCATGGTCGTCTTTGTTTTGAACATGGTTCTCCATCCTGAGATTCAAGAAAAAGCGCAGGCCTGCATCGAGCGCGTGGTTGGGCTCGGTAGACTGCCCGATCTTTCAGACAGGCCATCCCTCCCATACATTGACCATATCGTTCAGGAAGTCTACCGGTAAGCTTCCTCTTGCTACTCAGGTCGAGACCCACGTGGGATAGCTTCTGACGAGAAAGAAACAGATGGTCACCATTGGCACCGTTAGGAATTCCCCACAAATCTCTTGAGAACGACGTCTATAACGGCATGTTCATCCCTAAAGGGTAGGTTCACTTGCCCCCCTTTCACCCCTCAACGGGCCGAAAAGCTGCATGCTTCTAGAAGGAAGTACTGACTGCTTTCCCCAGGTCTATTGTCTTCTTCAATTCAAGCGCAATGACTCAGGACGAGCGGGTGTACAAGGACCCCAAGTCTTTCAACCCGGACAGATATCAACCAGAGTCTTCGGGAGGCCATGGTGAGCCCTTGCCACTTGGCCAGTTTGGCTTTGGACGCCGAGTCTGCGTTGGACGCTTCCTGGCAGACAACAGTGTCTGGATAGCAGTTGCAACAATGCTTGCCACTCTCAAGATTGGTAAGAAAGTCGGACCAGACGGCCAAGTCATGGAGCCCAAGATTGCCTTCACCAATGGTGGAACCTGGTGAGTTTGTGTGCTGCTCCATAAGTGTCAAAACTTTTAGAATTCTGACGTCAAACCGCTAGTCATCCGGAACATTTTGAATGCTCCATAATACCACGCAGCCAAAGGGCACAGGAGTTGCTGCGACAGTCGCTCTCTTCTTGAAGAGCAAAAGACAAAGTGAGGCGGTCTAGCCCTCATGCCAACACACATTTACTAAGCTTTTAGGCTTCGGGTTGATGAAACCGTGCACAGTCGATTTCGAGGGGGAACCTGGACATTCAAAGTACGCATAGGAAATTCCTTGCATCTAAATGACGACTGAGTAAGTCGTGGCTTTGAGGTTCAAGACCTTACTCTCAGCGACGGCTGCTTTTCGTAGCCAAGTCAAGGAAAACCAAATGAACAATTGTTGAAGCCAACATAGCCGATGTTGCATCTGGACCGACTGGAGGAGCCACGTCCACGTCAATAATGCGGAGCCTGACACCATTTCTGAACAGGATTCTGAAAAATGGGATTTTGTCATCCGGAACTTCTCCTAGACGTAAGGGTTTTGCCATTTTCTTTTGTCGATCTTATCAACTTCAGAAGGACGGGCTGCAGTCATATCAAGCCTGCGTCAGGGCTCCTCTCAACGAGGGTCCGGATCCGCCCCGAGACGAGTCTGATTGGAGCTTTGCCCACCACCAAGAAAGAAATATCTCTTGGCCCCAACTCAACGTATCCAACTTCTCCATGAGAACGCATGACGGGGATGAGTTTTCATCTTGTGCGAACCGTCACTCGACGTTACGGTGAAGAGGATAACGAGCGCTTGGAGAGTCATGTACACAAGCGTTTTGAGCGACGTTATTCGTCCCGTGTCAAACCACTGCATAAGCCATGTCACCCTCCATCCAAACCCTGACGGCAGGGAGAAAAACGTGGCAAAGAGTAGAATCTTTGTGACGGTAGGAAGGAGAGATTCCACGAGGCATCACGCAGTAAGTCAATGACCCGATGTCCGCGTCGAAAACGTGGCAGGCAGCGGGCAGACTACACAATGTCCTGTGCTAGCAGTGTCTCAATAGTCGAAACGCACCAAACCTTCAGGCTCGCACCGCATGAAGCTGCCACTCAGCACTGGCTGCTGCGATACTATTGTGAGGGTTTTCGAGATGCCCTATCGACAGGGTCACGACTCGCGGAAGTGGAAAAGAGCGGGAAGGAAAGGCTCTTCCTGCATGGAAAGATCTGGATCGCCAGCCGCGATGCAACGACTTAGATCTGGAATTACGCCAAATCCGCCGTATCAAAGGAATCATCGCAAGTCATGAGCCACGCGATGGACTGGGATCAAGCCCCCCGATCCTCCCTTGGGGGCTGAAGTCCAGGCGCGACGCTATTGACCATCCGCCCACCATTACGGGAACTCGGGGTTCGTTTCCTTTGCCTAAACGGGACGCAGATGCAGCTGATAGCTTGCTTGCACACATTTGACGTCGGCCAAGGATAGTGAAGACGCGACTTCTGCGTAATGGCTATCGTGACGGCCCGGAGGAAGTCATAGCCGTACAAGCTCAGCACGCCGTCGCAGACTTCTCAATCACTTGATGCGCGAAGCAGCGCGACTAATAATACCTGACCGCAAAAGACGAAAATTTCTTTTACTGGGCTTGGCCTGACGGTCACCGAAGCTGTCCGCTCGAGCCGAGTCCTAGCCTGCAAGGACTAGAGGCTGGTCAACCCGGCAAGTGTATCTCGTTCCGAGGGAGATGTACTAGGTGACAGGGTCTTGAGCTGTCAGAGTTTTGGTGAATGCTACACCTATACAGGCAGCTTTGCTTGGCCCGGGCAGTCCGTCGAGCTGATAAGAAGTGCCGTCGGGCGTTGCAGGCACGTGCGGCAAGACCGTGAGACAGTCCGACAAGCGGATTTCAAGCGACAATGAATAAGTGAGAGCACAAGGAAGGAGACACCGATCGGGCTCCATTGCAACAGCACGGCCAAAACCGGCGGGAGAAGAATTCCAGAATGCCGCCAAGTCCGGACGAAGGAACCCGACGACTTGGGGCTACTACGGTAAGGCAGTTAGGAATGTGCCAATGTGCCACGGTGCGTTTGACGGTGCGCTTGATGGTGCGAACTCTACGCCGTATCACCCAAAGCAGCGGCGGCGGTGGGATGAGACGGGCTGAAGGTCAGGCACTAGGAAAAAACAACCCTAACAAGTGAAGAACGGCGGCGTTTGCGGACTTGTTGATCGACCGCCAGGCTGACACTAACATAGGCGGGAACCTAATTACCCTTCTTTCGTCGTGAACTTGGGAGGCTGTCTGTGGGTAATTAGGTAGGTAGTGCCTTGCTTTCCTTTCCTCGATATAGGTAGGCTACCCCGTACCCCAAATCGACGAGGCTTGCATTGGATTATTCGCTTACTCCAACACACACCTCATGTGAGCTCATGTGAGGAGGAGCTTGAGAAGGGAGCCTTGAGTTGCAGAGTCAGGTCACCACCACCTTGGGCAGCTAAGGCAGCTCAAGTTACCTTGAGGTAGGTAGGCAAGCTGGCAAGGTCTTTGAATGTGAGGACGAGGTAAGGCAGCTTGGACCAGGTAGATGAGGAATGGAGTGGACGGACGGGGGGCAGGAGGTGACGGGGATTCTGTGAGGTGCTTTAGAAAGCAACTCAATCATGATTCCCACGCAAGCAAAACCCAATTCAGAGCTTGGCCATTTTTTTGCTTCCTTTTTGCTTGTTCGCTCCCGTCCGTCCCCTCTGCACTTGGACTTTGGGCTTCAGCCCTTTCGTCCCTCCCCTTCGGGCTCTTCCCCAAAAATCCTTCCGGCACCGGCCAGACTCCCACAGTGACGTTTTGACACACTCTTGCAAGTTGCCCCTCACTAAAAAAGCTGCTTTCTTTCCCCATCTGTTTCGCGCTTGACGAAGCAACCCCCCACTTGGGATTAACTCGGGATGGGTACCGTAGCGGTGGTAAGACTGGCGTGGAAACCCCGAAAGAAGCCTTGGGAGAGAGATGGATTGCAAATAAAATTTGTGTAGTTGTGGAAATGAAAGTATAGCAGCTCGTGGATTAATGATACCCGTTGTCTTGGCTCTTGGGAACAATCCGCTGGGAGTTGCAGTCCAGTTCCCTTCACAACCCTCGCTCGTTCTCTGCAACTCCACCCCTCATCCATGCTCGCTCCCATCTTTTCCCCCCATGCCGCCCCCCCCCCCCCCTTGTCCCGGTTGGCTCTTCCGTCCGCTTCCTTTAACCTTTGGAGCGAAACGGTGCTTTCGAACTGTAGCTGCTGCTGGTGCTGCTGCTGTGGGGGGGTTGGGATCGTCATATCAAGGAATGACCTTCGACCGTTCGTAAGCATAACGATGACTCGAGCCGTTTCGGAGGGCGAGAGCTTGCATACGGGCGATTCGTAATCCCAACGTTAAATATTGTCGCCAATCTGGGCCATCATCGCCTGCCAGAGCCGCTGACACTGTTGCTGTTGCTTGCTGTACTCCGTACTGCCTTCCATATTGCACAAACTGTGCATCACCCCCGAGGCCAGGAGACAAATCCAAGGGCCAATGTCTGTCCGCTCGTCGTCGATTCATTTGCGTCAACTGTACTCTTCGACTCCTGCAACAAGTCTTTTCGGATGGTTGTCGCCCATCTGGTCCTGCTTTGCCTACAGTTGTCAATTGAACCCCATTACAATACCCGTGGAAACAGGCACGACCGCCTGGGTCCGCCTCAGCCCGGGCCGAATACACCGAATATACAGACTCTTTCCAACATTGCGGCAAGAGGCTCCCGACCTCCTTCCCTCTACGTGTCTGTTGCGAGGGGGCATTCACTACTCTGGCCGCGGCGTCGGTCCTGCCTTTTTATTTTTCGAGACGATAAAGGCTTTCTTCTTCATCCACCGAGGACCGGAAGCTCGTGGAGAAAGACGATTTATTCTCCAAGAACCAAAAAGTCGGGTTTTCGGGAGCTCCCCCGCTTCGACAAAGTGCCCTCAGTCGGTTAAGGCTGCCCAATCTCGACTTGCTCCCCAATCGATTCCCAAGGCTGCGTGCTTCTGGGCGTAACTTCCAGGAGTGGTTGGCCAGCTTCCGCAAAGGTCCAAATTCGGTGCTCACTTCGCCAGGGATACCGCAAAAGGATCAGTGTAGGTGACAGCCGCCCATACGTCCCCTTAATCCCGCATCCAAGAACCGCTACCATGTCATCCCGAACCTCGATCACGCTGAAGGATCAGGTTGACACGTACGATATGGAGAGTCAGCCTCCTGTCTCGAAAGGTCATGGCGGCATCACCCATTTGCTGACCGTCCAAGATGGCGATCAAGACCGGACGGAGACGAAAAGAAATCCGAAGTGGTATCAGCGGCTATTAGATGCTGGCGTTGAGGAAAACGGGATCCAACCAGTACCTCTCAATGAGCGGACCAATACCAACTACAGCAATCTCTTCACCGTTTTCTTCACAAGTCTGCTTTGCTTATTGCCGTAAGTGCTTTCAACAATCCCAAGGAGGCTGGAGACTTTTGTTTTGCTGATACCGGCGTTAGGATCCCAACCGGCGCCTTAGCCACAGCTCAGCTCGGACTGAGTCTGAGGGATGCCTCACTGGTCATCGTCTTCTTCGCTTTGTTGACCTGTGTGCCTCCAGCATTCATGGGCATCGCTGGCTCGCATACCGGACTCAGGCAGCTTGTCCAAGCTAGGTATTCGTTTGGGTAAGTCGATATCTCTGTGAAGAATAACTTGTCGCGCAAACTGACGATTCGGATGGTTCAGATACTATCTTGTGGGCATTCCTCTCCTTCTCAACGCCGCGACTGTGACCGGATTCTCTCTCTCGTCTTCGATTGTTGGCGGCCAAACTCTCGCGGCCGTTAACCCGGGACACATTGATGTCAAGATCGGGATCGTCATCGCCTGCCTTGTAAGCTTTGCAGCTTCGTTCATTGGGTATCGCGCGCTCCACATGTGGGAACGCTGGCAATGGCTTCCGAACCTCGTTGCAATTGTCATAGCCGTAGGTTGCGGTGGGAAACATCTGTGGAAACAGGCCGAGACGTCGCCTCCAACAGCAGCTCAGATACTCAACTACGGAGGTCTGATGGCCGGTTACTTCATAACCTTTGGCGGTACTGCATCGGACTTCACTGCGTACCACAACCCCAACAAGACAACCAAGTGAGCAATGCCTATTTTCAGGTTAGCTACACTGCTGACAATAATCAGGTTCAGGATCTTTTCCTACATATACCTCGGGATCTTGACACCCTCGGTCCCGCTGCTTATCTTAGGAGCGGCGATTGGAGGTGCTCTCAACAATGTCCCCGAATGGAAGTTGGGATGGGACACGTATGGCATTGGCGGCGTCATGGCAGCTATGTTGGCTCCTGCTGGCGGCTTTGGCAAATTCGTACTGGTTGTCCTCGCACTGAGCGTGATTGGCAACATCGCGACGTCCATGTACTCCGTTGCTCTCTGTATGCAGCAGATGCTCCCGGTCTTCACAAAGGTCCCTCGCATTGTCTTTGTCGTCGTTGCGCTCGGAATCATGATTCCCATGGCAATCCGCGCTGCTGAGTCGTGGGCCGATTCTCTCGAGAACTTCTTGGGCTTGATCGGTTACTGGGCCGGCTGCTTCGACGCTGTCATTATTGAAGAACTAGTGTTGTTCCGTCGAATGAACTACAGCTCGTACGACCCTGCAGCGTGGAACGTTGCCCGACTATTGCCTTCCGGACTCGCTGCCCTTGGAGCGAGCCTGCTGAGCTTCGGGCTCATCATACCAGGGATGGATCAGGCCTGGTACACTGGTCCGATCGCGAGAGTGACCGGAGATATAGGCTTCGAGTCCGCGTTTGTTCTGACGGCAATTTCCTATGCACCCTTGAGATGGCTGGAAATCAGGAAGCGAGGACACGTCTAGGGCGGCCAGATGTTCGAGCGGCAGAGTAAAGAAGAAAAGGGGGGATATATCCAGGCAAGCGAGGTATGATAGACCGTATTTTTCGTTAAGCGCCCCAGTGGGGGGAAAGCAGGGGCATGTTGATATCTGCAGGGTCCCGACGGAATAGGGCAGTTTCGACAGTTGACCAACAATGGCACAGTTTCTTAGGCAATACGGCGGGTGCGTCGCGGCGGCGGCTTCTTGCTTAAACCTTCAATGGTGATCGGCCAGTTATAGTCCTCCATGTCGGCCTCTGAGGCTTGCCGCTTGCATCACCAGATTTGATCGGGAGCCTGGCTAGTATGAGCTGATGGCCACTTCCATTGGCCGTGCCACTCAGTCGAAAGGGGAACAATTACCTAGGTGTCTAGACTTGGTTGACCGGAGAGAACTATGTCTTCACCAAACTGGTGCCAAGCAACATCTGTGAGCCTGGCGGCTGGCACAGGCATGCCCTCGGTATTCTGGACTCGGTCGGGAGACACAACAACACCGCCGCGTCCAAGCCAAGTGGGCGCAATAGTTACGATAACTCTATCAACGAGGCGATGGTAAGCAGGGTCAAGAAGCGAGTTGATCACATGCCCGCCGCCTTCGATCATGACGCTTTCCAGACCTTCGGCGTGAAGAACAGAGAGAATGGAAGGCCAATCGAATCGCGATTCGGTCGTCTGAGGTTCGAGGACGACGAATTTACCGCCATGGGCTTCCAGAATTGCCTTTCTTTCCGGATTGACGGCAGACGGGCCAACTAGCACAAATGGTGCCAAGCCGTTGTTGGCGCGGGCGACTTCGAAAACTTTGCTGCGTTCGGTGAAGTCCCATCGGCCACGAGGATCCAAGACAATGGGGCGTGGCTGGGCGTCGAGATTTGCACCGTGGATGCGGCAGTTCAAGCCTGGATCATCGGCGAGGACAGTCCCAACGCCAACGAGAATGGCGGCATGGTGACGACGAAGATGGTGTGTCATAGCCTTGGACTCGGAACCCGAAAGGCGCGTACGCACACCAGGGGCGAGGGAAAGGGAAGAATCCAGTGATGTTGCAAATGTCAGAGTAACAAACGGACGGCCCTGGGATCTCGCTGACTGGATGGCAGATTCTGACGGTAGACGAGGAGCCAACCAGGCCACGTCTGGGCCCGGGATCTGCAGAGTTTCCGCCATTGTCGTTGAAGTGGCCTTTTCCGTGGGCAGAAGGGCGAATTGCTCCGAGAACCAAGAGGGTTGCACGTACGGATACGGGTTTACGCAAGTAATAACTCCCTGCGTAGCGCACGAGGTGATGCTATGGCTATCGCAGTACTGGCTAGGTGCCCCCTAGTCGTCTCGAAGCCTAGACTGTTGTCCCTGTTCAGACTGCCAACGGCGATCAAGGTAGACTGCTTATCGAAAGGGCGGTCTGAGAAGCAGTATCGCTGGCTATGCTTTCCTTGCCAAGAATTAGGATCTTTGCACAGCGGCGATACTGGCTCATTGACTAAGGTAGATGGTCGGCGAAGCAGGCTCACCAGTCAGTTGACTGATGGCTGGAAGTAGTAGGGATGAAGTTGAGCAAGGACCCGAAACCCAATGGCCTCCAGAAGGCTTGAGTGATAAAGCCTAACCCTAAAAGGGCACGTATTACAACTATTGGGACGATAAAAGGTTACGGATGCCTGCCGGGAGGAACTCCAAGCAACTTGGACGGCTGGGCCGTTGTTGAAGTCAGCAGTCGCAGGACCGCAAGAGGCAATCGAGGTCGTTGTCGTCTCGGACAACGATTGTCACCTTGGTAAACCTTGAGTGAGGTGTGATGGCCAAGGATGCTATGGTAGAGGAGAGCAGACGCGCGGTTGATGACCAGAGTTGCGGGGGGCTGAGAGCCTAAGATGGCAACAGTTGTGTCGATGTACCGTGACCAAGTGCGAGTACCCGACACAGTTATGGCTGTGTTCGTACCGTCCTGAGGCGAACCAAACAGGATTGGAGATGTTTTGTACTTTTGGACTCTTGAGGAGAGATCGGCAAGATGTGGATGCCCTGGTGATCTGATTCGAAGGCTTTCGTTTCCCTACAGACTAGGTGCGGCGGAGAGTTGTCCGCAGAGATGGTCCTTGCTACTGCCACCACTCGGGTTGAGTCAAGGGCTACGACAGGCGCGATGTGGTATCGATTGTCAACGACACGAACAAGCTGGATGACAGAGAAAGGCCGACACGCCGGGAGAATGTTTTAGGCGAGATGTTGATGCGTCTGTTCCGACCAGTGCAAGTAACACGTCGTCGGAAGGAGATTTATGAGTTGACTCAGGTGAGCTAGCAGTTTCTGTGTCAGAGGATGGAGTGGGTGGGTGGATGACTTGTCTGGTTGTGATTTTCGTGGTAGAGGGGAGAAGAAAAAAAGCCAGACGGGTTGGACTTGGGCTGGACGATGCAAGTGCTATTCGTGTGGGACATGCAGCGGAGGGTGCGGGCAAAGTTGCGTGAAGTTGACGGGAAGGTGGGAAGACAAGGGAGGAACTAAGGTACTGTGGTAATCAATCAATCAGCTGCAAGTGCAATGTTGGTGAGGGCCAGAAGTGCCAATTGCCAATGTCAATTGCAGGATGCAGATGCGGTGCCACTATGCAAGTGCAGGTGCAGGTGCAAATGCAGATCCAAAGCAGGTGAAGGACTTGGAGCTGAAGTTTTGATAATGTGGGTTGGTGTTGACTTGGACCTGGATGATTCGTGAAGCGGGTGCGGGTTGAAGATGAGGTGGGCTGGATGACATGGGAAATGGTGGAAGGGCAAGATGCAAGTGCTGGTGGTGGAGTGTGCTGCCCTGGATTGCTGGAGACTGGAGTGTGTGTGTGTGTAAAAGACAAGAGGCAGTCACGATGGATGATTGGATCTTGCACCTGCCTGCCCTGGCGACGACACAGACACGACCTCTCTTTCTCCGAATTCTCCAATCTCCAACGTTGCGCCCCAGGCCAACAACACCCAACACCCAACACTCACCTACCCGACCTTAACACGGCAAACACCTCAAACCCCTAGACACGGTACGGGGTACTACACAGTAAAGTGGTCGTTTGCCGCCTCGCACCCAAAGCCCAAGAGCCCAAGCCGCAACGCGCCCCGACGTGCAACGTAAGGTGCCAACGTCTTTTCGTTCCTTGCCCTTCCAGGTCACCAAATCGCAAGTCGCGCATCCCTCATCGCCCATCGGTATCCAATCTGGTGGACCTCAGAATAGCCGACAGCCCCACTACAACGTGCGTTTTCCTCGGGAGGTGGACACTTGGAATGGATCCTCTTCAAGGACCACCGACCAACTTGGAGCCCATGATTCCTCACTGCACAGTAAGATGCTGCGTCCTTCGTACTTACACGGTACCATACCTTACCTTGCCTTATTAGCCCCGCCTCTTTGGGACCCTGACTTACAAGTTGCACAGTACTGGGACGATCCAAACACAGGTACTCCCACACCGTACGGACCATATACGTTATACTACAACGAAATTCCAGTCTCCAGCTCGACAGGGCCACCGCAAGGCAGAGTCAGGTCTGGTCCGCCAAGCCCATGGAGACTTCAATCATCCAAGCCTTGGAAACAACACGCACATGGCCGTGAGGCTGTGACGGCGCGCGCGCGCGCAACGTGTCCTTGGACCCAACTTCCAACCAGCACACCACCCACTCTGCCGGCACGGCGGGTACCCATCTATACTTGTACATACGAATACACCCACGAATCTGAATGACCAAGAGCCAGAAAGCGAAAGAGAGAGAGAGAGAGAGAGAGAGAGAGAGAGAGAGAGAGAAGGAGAAAAGGAAAAGAAGGACCACTCACTTACACTAGACAGGCGCCTAGCCTCTAGTTCCCCAACATATCTCTCATCTGCGGATATTCCCAGCATCTCATTTCCCCCTCGAGTCGTACGGAATTACGAAGCTATGACGAGAAAACCACCAATAAGTACGCTAGACAACGGTTTCCGAGGCGGCACTTTTCCGCCACATGTGTCGTCCATCACCCCCCTCCGATATAGCGGGCGGGCGGCTGAAGTCGTCTTTGCCTTTCCCATGGCCTCAATCCCATCCCTGGCCTGGCCTCCCCTCCACTTACACCGCTCAGGGCTGCCCCTCCCGACCATGAACTCTAAACTTCGGCGTTACAGTGGGGGGAGGGGGGGCATGCGAGGTCGACTTGCAGTCTGCAAGTTGCGGGCAGGCAATTCCGCATACACGGCACCATCGAGCACTGACCACGGCTCCGAACCCTCTGTTTTCTCTCTTCGCAACCGCCGTGCCAAGCCAAGGCGTCATGGCCCAAGGTCATGGGTCTTTCCTCACAGCATAGGCTTTTACGAAATCAAGATTCGCCAAAATTCCGCCCCTAGACTGACAGGCATCATCTCTATGTACATCTCTGTGCGCTTGCCTGCGTAGCCTTCAGGGCTCTGGACTCTCTTCACTGACGATACTCCGGAATATCCCTACCTGCTTTGGCATCCAGCCATGTCGGTCGAGATGCCTCACTTTTTAGCCTTTCCGAGTTTCTGGTTTGGTCTGCTGCCGGATACTCCCAACTCGGGCAGAGCTCGCAACACCCAGGCCATCACCTGCAGCCGCCGACACGCCATTTCGGGCCACTTGGGCCGGACGTTTCCCTGGGACTCCCTGGCTGCCTTTGCGCTTCGCATCTTTATGGGATACTCGCTTCCTCCAATACCCAGCTTGTGGAGGTTATCCTGAAGTCAACCACCTATCACACGGCACCAAGTGGGCAAGTGGGCTTCAGCATGCAGCATGTATGTAGTTGCACTGGTAGTTGCAATCGCAATCGCAGTTGCAGTTACACTCACGCTTGACGACCGAGACACTACACTACCCTACGTACCCTCCGCTAACTGCATCTACCTGTTGTCCAACCTAGCACCGGCCGGAGTTGGAGGTCCTCTCGGGCGGTTGCAACGCAACACACGCGAGGAAACTCTGGAGTCTCCCGAAGCCACTTTACGCGACTACGCCGCATGGAGTTTGGCTACTGTTTAGGCCACAAGGTTAGCAGCCATCGCTTTGCTTGTTAGACTCTCGGCCTTAACCTCGACCGCCTTAGCTTCCCCTTCGTCACACACATCACCAGACAGACTGCAATACCTTCTACGTCCATCCCATCCTCCCGCTCTCATCCCGTTTGTCTCCATTGGCTCGGTCGTAACTCCGTCTACGACTTGGAGCATTTCATCCCGCCTGTCTCTGTCTCTTGGGGCAACATCCCGGTTCCCGAAAAGTGCCTAGGCGCTCCGAACTGGGCTTTTTTAAGCACCCTCTCGTGCACAGAACAGCGTTACAAGAACCACTACCTCACACACCACCAGACTCCTTCCATACCTACTTTCTTCGGATGCGGGGAGCCTTCGCAGCGGTATTGGTTTCTGGGGCAGATATCCTCAGAAAGTTTACTTGCCCATGCAATCTTCGATCACGCTCGATCATTGCCCATGTCGTCGAACGGGCCGTGAACGAACCCCCCATGACAAGATGAGCTCACCCGAGAAGTCACGCCATTATTGCAGCATGTCTTGCTTTGCGTTCTGTTATCAAGTCGGACCTCACGCCCAAAGCACAAAAAAATTCAAAAAGGGCAGCAGGCTTGTCCAAGGGTTATCGGTGATCGATGACATCGTTGCAGCGGGCGCACTTAGATAGCTCGGCGCCTTCAAGGAGAAACTTGCTCAGTGCTAATAACGCAAACTGATGACCACACAGAATACGAGCAAGCGAGCTTTACTACAAACAGACAAAAAACTACAACTGAAGCGACCGATATGAAGTCAAATAGGGGGGGGGGGGGCAGGTACAGGGACTCAACGCCACACGAGCCTCTAGGCCTAGGCCAGCCTGACAGCGGCTTGTGCCATAGGCGATCGGCAGGGGCCTCTCTTAAGAGCGTGCCTAGCGCAGAGGGACATTGTCCTTGGGTATTCCGTCGTCACAGACTACCTATTCGTGGACCGTGAGGGTTGGACGGCCCTTGCATCAAGCTCCCCACGCATGCAACGCACTTTTGGTACCGAGACAACTCATCCACATCCGAATATAATAGCTGAAAAGGCATGCTTCGGAAGCTCGGCCAATTATCAGTCCGAAGAAGCTGACGGGCTTATTCCGTGTCTCACTCTGCTTGGAGCCGCCGGCGATGGTGAAAGCGCAATAAGTAGTTCCACGACTACTGTACCACACGATGTTGCTCTTGGCCTATTCGTACTGCGGATACAGTGCGCAAAGATCCGACGATCACTCACTGCCGAATCCCAATCTAACTACCATCTGGGGCTAGTGATTGCCGGCCGCGAGTGGATGGTTTATCTTTACGCGCCACATAGAGTCCAGTCGTGGCCTTTCCTTTGTCAGGGATATGGCACCTGTCAACCGGGCGCTTTCAGCTCCTTCACTCTATATCCGTACATTCAGGTTTTCAGTACGGATACATTTCAAGTACATTGCCCCATTCGCGGCTCGCCATGGAATCTTGCGTCTGCCCTGCCCCCTCTCCGCCACATCGGGTCACGAGCAAAACTCCCGGAACATACGGGAGTGACGGTCCCATCCGTAGGTGCCGGACATGGCCGTAGATGGCCCTTTCGTCCGCGATTTCAAGACATCTCACGTCTTCAGAGGCAGAGTTGTGTTGGAAATCGAACACGGGACCCTGGCTCGGATATCGACCGACTGATCTTGCAGCACAACGGGTGCCCCAGACGGGAAATGGGAATTAGCCAGCCCGGACCAAATTGCGGTCATCAACTCGACCGTTGTGCGAGAAATCGGGCCTGCTTTAACCTGATATTTCCCACTAAGGCCGCCCTGTAGCGCAAAGGCGAATGTTGGCCAAAGCTTACATCGACCCATTCTCAGAAGGCATTGCACTAGTGTTTCGCTCTTCTGGTGACATCCTGAGATCTGGCCAATACCTGAAGGGGTTTGTTCAGTTTGAGTTGCAGCAAATCGGTGTTCATGGTGGGGGGTGCAGAAGGGAGGGGAAGACGAGGCACACCAGATGCCCAGGAACCCAGTTTTTGTGCTCCTGCATGCCGGCAGGCAATGGGCGGGACGTTCCTTCGCCCGGCCACTTGGGAATACGTACCGACTGTAAGTACTGCTGGTACCAAAAACTTCCATGAGATAAATCTGTCTATGATGGCGCTCTGCGCGACCGAACGCTGGTCCGATTGATCTCTTTTAGTGTCATCGGATGCAAGGGCCTGCTCTCGAGCCAAAGTTAGTTGTGCCCGTCAATAGTGACCGGTTGGAGACGCCACAAATGTCGTTTGTGGAACATGGCATTTATCACTCGTGATGCCCGTCTACTTCCGTCTGTGACAACACAGCCATTGCATTTCACAACACTCACCAAACCTCCTTGAGAAGCCATTACCGTCTAGATTCACATCTATTCTCGCCTTCCTCCACACATCAACTAACCATGGGAGCCATCATTCCCAACTCTGAGAGGTATCCTATGGCCTCAGACCCCGTATTGACAATGGGCGCCTCTGCCCAACACGCTTTCACTACGGACTCCTCTCCGGAGGATCCGTATATCTATCAAGTTGGATTTGGAAACAGATTCTCTTCTGAAGCCATGTACGTTGGCATTACCCAATTCTTGATCAAGAGTCTGAGCTCACCAATAAGTCCCGGGACTCTACCTCGATCATGTAATGTACCGCAAAGAGTAAAGTACAACCTTTATTCCGAGCAGCTCAACGGTTCTACCTTTGTTGCCTCTCGAACTGACATCCAAAATGCCTGGTTCTACCGGATTTTCCCATCTGTGGCTCACGGAGATATCTCAAAGAAGCCACGAAACCCAGATGTAAGTCATTTCTCATTCCTTGGATCCCCTTCCATCTACCCATAACGCAACCACTTTCAAACTGGGCCCACCCCTGACATGTCTTTGCCGTCAAGATTGAGTCAAGATTTACGTCTGGGAATGAGAATGTCGAGTTTGTTCCCGGAGGACTCTGTTGGAGAGCATTCTCGGTGCCAAAGACGGATGGGCCGGCTATCGACTTCGTCCAGGGACTCAAGACGATAGTTGGGAATGGCGACTCAACGACCAAGGACGGCTTAGCTGTACACGTATACGCTGCAAATTCTTCCATGAAAAAGCGCGCATTCTGCAGCAATGATGGCGACATGCTTTTCGTGCCTCAGACTGGCAGGCTGGACATTCAGACAGAATTCGGGAGGTGGGCAGTCACCTGTTCCAGTCGGTGACGAAAATCTGTTGACGATCTTTCCAGAATGATGGTTCGGCCTGGCGAGCTGGCGGTGATCCAGAGTGGCATCCGCTTCAAGGTCGGGTTGCCGGATGGTCCGGCCCGGGGTTGTGAGTCATTTGACGATGCCCATATGCATGAGAGGACATCCAACTGATGGGCTTAGACATCCAAGAGATATTCGGAAGCCGGTACGAGCTGCCAGAACTGGGGCCGCTCGGAAGCAACGGGATGGCTTTGCCTCGCGATTTCGAGTTCCCCGTCGCCTCATTTGACATGGATACGTCGGAGTGGGAGAGTAAGTCTGCCCTATCATCTTTGCCAAGACGTGGCCACGCTGACTGACGCGGTGTGTTAGTCGTGTATAAACTGGCTGGAAAGCTGTGGTCCTGCAAACAGAACCACACGCCCTTTGACGTGGTCGCATGGGATGGCAAGTAAGAGAAACGCCCGCTCCAAGACCCTCTCCCCCCAGTGTATTCCATCTAGGTGCTCACATCGTCTCATAGCTATGTGCCTTTCAAATATGCCGCCGAGAAGTTTGTCAATGCCGCCTTCGTGGACAAGGACCAAGCCGACCCCAGTTTGTACACCGTCTTGACGGCGAAGTCCAAGATGCCCGGTATACCTGCAACAGATGTCATGTTTTTCACGCCAAAGTGGTCTTCGGCGACGAATACCTTTCGACCTCCCGTACGTTGTGTTTCTCTTTTTCCTGGGGTGTGGCAAATGTCGTGGCTAACGGGGTGTAGTATTATCATCGAAATATGTCGACGGAGGTGGTGGGAATCGTGTATGGCGGTTACAAGGGCACCAGTCGCAATCTGGAAGCTGGTGGCCTGAGTTTCCAGTCGAGCTTCATGCCGCATGGAGGTACGGATACAGGAGGTCCTTTTCTCAGACAAGAGGCCAGATACTAACAAGGGGCTGCAGAAACCCATGAGGCGTTTGTGCAAGCGACTACCAATGAGCTGAAGGCTCAACGCGTGGGAGAAGGCTTTCTCGGTAAGGATAGCGAGGGGAAGCATTAACACCCATTGCACCGCGGCTGACATTCTTGTGCAGGTTTTATGTTCCAAATCAGCACTCACTGCGCGGTGACACAATATGCGTTGGAAAGGAGCGGCGTGCTGGAAGGTAAGGAAGAGGTTTTCGATTTGGAGAGAACGAAGAGGGATGTGGGCTAACGAGCGTTGATAGTACCGCCGGCATCTCTTTGGGACTCAATGCAAGGACACTTTCTCGAGCACGCCGAAGAAGTAAATAGCGACTTGCGAAGACGAGGACTACCGACCCTCGGGGCCACCCTGAGCCATTGAGAGCGAAGCGAAGCGACGTCGATTCATTCATCATCACTACCTACTGAAAGCGGGATTTTTTGGTTTCCCACCTCCTAAGCCTTGCGTGCCTTTGGTCCTCCAACACATCGTCTCTTCTCCATTTGATCCGAAATAGCGAAGCGATGCACAGCGATGACAACATTTGCCAGCGATTTCTGAAAGTTTTCCTACAGTCACGGATATATGATCAATGATTCGGTGGTGGCTGGGGGTTTTGGTCGGAAGATTTTCTCTTTTTCTCTTTCTTTTTTTTTTTTTTTTTTTTTTTTTTGGTCTGTGGTCACGAGCGGAGGTGTAAGTGAGAGTGAGGCAGAGCGGTTTGGGGAAGAGAGCTTGGGTCATGTTGCCAGGATGTTGAGGAACACTTGGCTGGGTGATAATTTAAAGAAGAGAAAAAAAGCTGGGAATCCCGATCTCCGAGGAAACTCAATGCTATCGACATTAATCGTATATCGTGAACGTGGGAAAAACATGCAGTGGGTTGTGGTGTGGTTTGAGCTGTACCAATGAAATTCTGGCCGCGAGGCGAAAGTATGGTACTGAGGTGATTTTTTTGTCGTGATTTTCAACAACATCCGATATGGTGTAGTGGCCAACATGATGCCCTCTCATAAACCTGCGAGGTTAGGCATAGCCCCGAGTTCGATTCTCGGTTTCGGAACTTTTGTCTTGTTAATCACTCTGATTCGATGCTTTTTTTCTGTTTTGCTTGAATAATTGGTTGGTTATTTGATTTTTGCAAAGATTGTGTTTGTACTGTTGAAATTTTGCCTCCACTGACCACAGTGTATGTACAACCGGCCCTGTCGACTTACAAGCAGCGAGTACTGCGTGTCCCTTTGCTGTGTTTATCTTCTATGGCGGGCGCAAATGAAAAGTACCTTACTAGGGAGCTCATTACAAATTTAGGACACTTGTTACTGCCGTGGCTGTGCTGGTGTTGCAACTACTTAGGCAATTTGTTCGTTTTTCTATGACTTCAACCTGGAGAAGTCAAATCTCCACCGGCCCTAGAGTCGGTCCCTCACGATATTTTAACCACGTATTCATGAGTAACACAAGAAGAGGGAGATGATGTTCCACCCTGTTGTTCCTTCCTTCGTTCCTTGATCCTCAAGGTTCCGCCGGCGTTCTCTCCTGGTTATGCATAATTTACCTTTCGTTTCCATGTTCCAGGTTACTTTCAGTACGTGGCTTGCGTTATTAAGTCAAAAGTCGTGGTAACGTTATGGGACATGAGAGTGAATGTGCGGAGGGCTATCGAACGCTCGCTTACATGACCTTTGTCGGCTGTTCGAAGGGGTGTCGAGACATACGGACGCGAACGACGCTCACTCAGTGATGCGAACCTATACGGGAAGTTAAGCCCCATTCTCTGAGTGGCGCGAGGGGAGACTTCGATACTTGATGTGAGCTGGTCAATGTAACAAGCCTACCGCTAGATCATATCAGAGTATGGCCGCCCCGGCGTAAAGTCTACGGTAATCAAGCTGGGCAACTGTTCTTTCGTTCGGTACCTTTCTTGACGGATTGCTTGCTTTGCACAACCGAGGGCTTCATGGCTAGACCTATTGACTTCGATCTTGATCCGACAGGGTGATCTCATTTAGTAAACATGGACACTCTGTAGGCCTAATTCGAAAATGACGCTTTTCATAAAGTGATCAACTTGGACTGCTCACGTTGCTGGACTTCATTACGTTTTCCCATAAATCAAGGACGGCGGCGAGGCTACGCGCTCCTCCCTCCAACTTAGTGTTCCCGGGTATACTGAAAGCATACCAAGTCTGTTGAGGATTACGAGGGTAATTATTTCCGAGGCCTCGCCACTTAGATTTCACCACGAAGTGAGTGTTGTCACCGGTACCTCTGGCAGAATCAAAGGGACGGAGAAGATGTCGGAGATAAGGGGACCGAAGACGGCCCGGAGGCTTCCTACAACCTCGGCGCCGGGGCCGAAGACACCGGAAGCGTCAGCGGTAACAGTGGATCTACTTCTCCTCCGTCGGCGAAGGGCCGCCGCGCCGACCCAATCCCGTCCTGCCTTTTTGGGCACCTTGTTTGGTGACATGCTACGTTCGCCAGTGGCCCAGTGACCCGAGCAGGCCGGAGCGGGCAGGGCGGGTCTGCTCCAAACATAGCACTTGATGACCTCGCAGCTTGATCAAGGTACCCTACTGCGCCGGTGGTGCCGCTGATTGGGTGCATGCCGCTCCGGCACGGCGGCAGCACTCTGTCGTGGCCCCGTGGGAAGGAGCTCAGGCACCAGCAGCGCTGCAGTAGCAACGGGCGTGATCAGATGGGGCAATGCGAACGCGACCTTTGGGATGGGCGACTGGCCTCTCATTGGATTGCTGGGGTCTTTGCCGGGGAGCCGAAGGGCCAGGGGTGTTTCTTCGTTGCGGGATGGTTGGGTGCGCTTGACTGGTGGGGAGCAAGGTAGGAGAAGGAGAAGGGGAAGGCGGACGGATTTGAGACAGGGACAGTTTGGGGCTGGCGAATGTCACAGGTGCTTGCTTTGGACGCCAGGCAGGTACTGCTTGATGCTGTGTTACTGTGTATCTGTTTCCCTCCGACGCTTGTCGCCTTGTGTCGCGCATACCTACTCGGAGAAGATGGGATGAAGGAGGTGAGGAGAGCTTGTGCAGGAAGCTTCGCTGAACCTACTTTCTCCATGGTGTGTCTAGACCGCTGCTTTCCTGTTTCCATGAATTGTATCCGGTAAAGTAGCCCAGAATCCGTATGGCTTGAAGGTGCAAGTGAACGGGGAACCTCCGTCCAAAACGGAGACATACGGATACCCATCGCAATTACACTGCAAAGAGAGACCCAACAAAAAGATACATGGGCAAAGACAAGCTTACGAACACTCCAAGACCCCAAGACCCCCAAGACTCGCCCGCGGCGCGCGCCCAGAGACTTGGTGCGCATAAGCCTATTTCAGGCTAGAGTCACGAGCAAACCCGCAAACTTAACGCCGCCCGCTAAAACGAAAGAGACCTGGAGTGTGTCGAAACGAGAGTCGCAGGCGACCACCAGGTGCGGCCAGGCGAACATAAGGTACCTTCACCGACAAGGGTCAGGCAGGTTGCCTCCCTCCAAAATCGCGGCTTGGCTCTCTCCCGCCCAATCCATCCACGCACGCAACGCACGTCCTCCTCCTCCCATTCTTTTTCCCCAACATCGCCACGTTCTTCCGGGTGGTGTGTTCACTCTCTCTATCCAGAGGTGTGTGTGTGCGTGTGGCTTTTCGATACCCGTTCCTTAAACTCCTCACACCGGTTTTTCTTCCCCTTCGCCATCCGCCGCTTGCAGTATTCTTCCTCCTCCATCCTCTACACGTAATCCCGCCTCCGAGCCCTCCGCTGCCTCCGTCCGACAAAGGGGATCTCGTCCGCACCGCTTGAAGCAAACGGACTTCCTTGCCTTCTTTTGTATTTTTTTTTTTGCAATCGTCGTCGAAAGGCAAACCGAAAAGTAATTTACTTTACCTCTCGCCCAACCCGCGACACAACCCGAACCCGTCGCGCCTACCACTCTCATCTTCATCCATCACAAACAACAACCAACTCCCATCCCAAATAATGGCCGACCACGACAAGCCCCCCGCGTACGGCGGTCCTCCCCCTCAACACCCGCAACAGGCCTACCAAGGCTACGGCTCTCCGCCTCCCCCCGGCGGCCCAGGAGGCTACGGCACTCCTCCGCCGGGACAATACTACTCCCCCGGCCCGGAGATGAACTACGGCCACCAGCAGGGCCCGTACCCGCCTCCGGGACAGCAGTACCCCCCGGGACAATATCCTCCTCAAGGACCCTACCCGCCCCAGGGCCAGTACGGACAGCAGTACCCGCCGCAAGGCGGTTACTACCAGGACAACCGCGGCGGCGGCTCGGGAGGCGGCATCATGGCTGGTCTGCTCGGTGCGCTCGCGTGCTGCTGCTGTCTTGACTGCTTGTTCTAAGCGGGCGGCTTGCGAACGTCTGGTTCAAGGGGCCAGATTATACGGAGCGACATTGCGAAACAAACCACACGATACCCTCAACAACTCAAGTACTTTGCGGCTCGAACGTCGCGAGCAGTACCCACTTCGAACGGGATGATGGCAGGAGAGAAGGGGACGCAGTAAGGAGGGAGCGTACGATGATACCCGGTCTGGGCCCGTTGCGGTGCCGAGAAATGCATGGCATAGCGTGGGAAGATACACGAGAAGACCCTTCGCCGGCTGTGATAAGGGGTTACCAGAGTCTGAAGGGGTACAGCCGACATTGCGCTTTTCTCATCGTCGTAGGCATGGGGGACTCTCTTGCATGTCTCGGACGGCGTCAAAGGGATGAAGGGGATTCTCAACTCCTCGAGGTGGAATCCGGGAACAACAATCTTTTCTGTCATGGGCTTGAGAGACGGGTATGCTTTACAGGGAACGAGCCCTTTTTCGGGGCCTTTTGTGCTCCTTTTTGTGTTTTTCGAACCCGATGGGATCCGGGAGTTTCGATAGCTTTTCTCATCGCATAGCATAATATCATCACGGATACGCCCCGGGAACATGTTGTCCACTTGACTAAACTCTAAAATTGTACGACTGTGAATTCCTATCGGCAAAGCTTAGGTGAGCTGAGCTCTCGAGTGCGGGGTATGCTTCATCGAGAGTGGCTTGGCCGAGGACGCAAGCATCCTAGGCGCAACGTCACGGAGACTTTCACGTTACACGTGTAAGAGAGGTTTCGGAGGGCAGAAGTGAAGACCGAAACTCCACCAAAAAATAAAACAGATTGAGGTATCTACAAAGTGAGCATCATATGATCTGCCGTTCCATTTCTATGCTACGCTACTGAAGAACTCGTCAAAGTCTCTTTGGATGTTGGCCACGCAGTCATTTGTATAAATCATCTTTTGCACGTCGGGCGAGGCCCACTTATCCGGCACAGCGCCGGTCTGCTTGGACTCGGCAAACATGCGATCGCGCTCCTCCTTGGCTTTGCCCTCACCGAGGTGCAGCTGCTTGCCCGAGAGGAAGGCCATGTTGACGAGCTGCGAGGTCCAGTCGCGCCGGGAGAGCTCGTAGGCTTTGAGGCAGCGCCGGAGCGTCGCGGGAGACGTGTCGGGCGCGCGGGCGAGGACCTCGGCGACGACGGAACCATCTTCGATGGCCATGGCGGCGCCCTGGCTCAGGTGCGGGAGGGTTGGATGGCAGGCGTCACCGAGAAGAGCGACAGGCCCGTCGGTGTGAACCCAGGTCGGTAAGGGCTTGTGCATGCGTAGGCGCCACTCGCAGACCTCGCCGTCCGGTACAAGGTTGAGCATGCGGTGGACGAGGGGGCAGAAGTCATGGAAGACGTCGAGCATGGCCTTTTTGGAGCCCTTTGTGGTGTAGGTTGCGTTCGTGGCGACGGCAAAGTTGGAGTCAGGCTGGGTGGTGGAGAGGTTGTAGATTGTGTGCGAGGAGACGGGGTAGGCGATGATGTGGCGCTTCTCGCCGATCCAGCGGATTACCTCGTCCGAGTCGAGGAGGGCGAGGAGTTCTGGGTCATCAGCGATCTGCTCACGCTTGAGCATGATGCGGTAGGCAGCCTGGCCCGTATCCTCTTCCCCACCGACGGCGCCGATAGACTCAAGCAGTTGGGCGCGAATGATGCTCTTGATGCCGTCGCAAGCGATGAGAACGTCGGACTCGACTGCGTAGGACTCGCCGTCGCGCGGCTGCAGCACGAACTTTGGCTTGGGCGCAAAGGATTCGACCGATAGTAGTGCCGTCGCGAAGTGGAATGTGATGGCGGACTCCTTCTTACAGGCGTCGTACATGCCACCGGCAAGGGAGGAGCGGTGGCCGTTGCAGTGCGGGAAGCCGTACAAATTCCGAATGTCGGGCATCTCGACATGGGCGAGCTCAACATTGGTGGCGCCCTCTGTGCTAATATGTCAGTAACGTTGTGCTTCGCAAGGTGATGTGGTGGTGCAGAGGTCCTCCTTACGTCGAATGCTTGAACTCTTCACGTCTGTACACGTCTTCTCGATCTCAGGCCAGCAGCCTAGGCGATCGAGTACGCGGACGACGTTTGGCGGCATCTGAATGCCGGCGCCGACGAAGCCGAGGTTGGAGGCCGTCTCATAGACATCGATGTGCTTGAATCCCTTCTTGGCCAATGCAAGGGCGCAACCCAAGCCGCCCATTCCTACGCAAGTTCGTGTTAGTGAACGGTCTTCAAGATCCGTGAGCCAGGCGGCGAGTACCTGCGCCAATAATGGCAATTTTCAGATCCTTGGGGTCTGCCATTGTGTCTGGTATGGTGCTGTAGTATTCGTCTCGAAGGGTATTGAATTGCAAAGCTCAGCTGGACCAAAGTTTCTGATAATGCCGTCTCAGGGGTTACTTATGAAGTAGGCGGCACGGAGCCTCATATGGAGGGGCATGTGGGGGATCGGAGGTAAGCTCGGGGTCCATTATCAGCTGGAGAAGCGGGGAAGCGATCGAGAATGAGGGGGATGCTGCGATATTCCCTAACTCCCCTTGGTCCTTTGATGAGCTGGTAGAGAGCCGGGATCGCAGAACGGGAAGTAAATACGATTCATCGGGGTTGCCATTGGTAGACGAGCCAACTGCCGGTGCGCCGACGGTGCTGTGGGGGTGATGCGAACTTTAGGATACTGCTGAACCCCAAACCCCAATTTCGGGCGGTCAAAGTTGCTTGAATGTTTAGCCAGCGTTGGTTGTGGTAGTTGACGAAGCTGTCAGATGTCGTGTCAAAAAATTGGCTTAGTCACGGGTGCAAGTCGGATGTGAAAGTCGGCATGCGTGCGTCTAGACTCCAAACCAGACATATGCAGGTGGCCTGGCCCGTCCGTGTGGAAATGTGGCTCGCTAGCTTCATCGCTGACAGCGGCGATTGAGTCTGTGTTGTGTTACCATACGATGGGTGGCTTGCTCACGGGCGCCCATCCAGGTTTGGGGGGGATCCCCGCGTTCGGAGGGAGGGCCGAAATCTTGTCGTCATGTCGCGAGAGAACGGCACGGTGCCCCGGCGCCGGGACTGTTATGATTTGCCTCGGCCGCTTAAGGGGTGGGAACCCCTGGTGATGGTTCGCTTCTCTCTGTAACGCTCCAACAGCACAATCCCGAGGTGGGTATCCATAGTCTTGCTCCGATATCTGGAGGCCAGGAACCCAAAAGCGACAGCTGGAAGAAAGCAAGGGTTTGTATGGGTGGACGGGTGGACGGGTGAACGGATGACGGAGGAGGTATGGCGGTGACATGCGAAGCCACCTGTTCATGAATCTTTGCCGAGAGCAGGATTTTCGATCATTGGAGTCAATCCCAGCTCCCTCTTTTGGACATTTCAAATGACGGCTGATGTTGTTGTCGGGACATTGTGCCAAGAAATGGGATCCCAACGGACCAGTGCGATACGCGGAAACAGAACGCCCTCGTTCCCACTGGTGGTCAATAACCAGCTTCTGCAGTCACTTGCCTTGGCAACAATTGGTGACGCAGAGTGGCAGAACAGACTAGCCATCCTTCGGGACGCTTTATGGCGTACAGAGTAGACAGTATGGTGGTGGCTGTCTTGTCATCGGGAGACGAGAGTAGGCGGCGTCTCGGCGAAAGCTTCGCTTTCCGAGGCGCAGGTGGTTTTATTCAAGTTGATTGTTGGGATACCCCACGGCCCGAAATGCTGCAACGAAAGGGTTGGCGAATTCCACAGTCCACCAAAAGGATATTTAGAGTGGCACAGCCACGCAACCTCGCCCCATTTAGCCACGACAACGTCTCTCGGTAAGCTTGTCAATGTGGATAAGGTTCATTGTCGATTCGCCTTGCTTGCACAGGGATGTGATAGTACGAGCGGCAAAATAGCCACAGGTGCTCCATTGTGTAGCATGCCCAAACAGATGGCGGTGTTCATGTTGTTGTGTGCACCCGTACGAGGGACAAATGAAATGTTTCCTCTGGCTGGGAGGAATCAACAAACGACGATGTTCTCAGGGGTATTCAAGTCTTGAACCCGGGAAGCAAGCTGATTTGACTAGCGAGGAGTGTCTTTCGGCTGGTACTTGGGACGAAGCGCGCGCTGATCTATTTCTGAGGCATGCGTCAGAATAGCGCGTCAACGTGGGGTGGGTTGTCAAAGGCTGGCCATGCACACCACATCTGTTGGAGGTTGGACAGACTGGACGACTGGATGGCCAAGGGTCGTGCTGCATCAATACGTGCTGCCTATATGAATCCTTGTTACAACAAGAAAATTAGCGATAGCTGGTTCGGTTGGTGGAAGATAGAATTGTACTCTTGTGTGATGAGAGATTACTGTATAAGATATCTGTAGGGAAGTAGGATGAGAGAGGTTTTGGAGGCATCCGTGGACCGTGGTCGAGGTCCCCTACTGGGCAGAGGGTACGTACTCCGTGTTCTGGCGACATTGGCGACCTCAGTGGTGAGTGGCAGATGATTGGGCCAGAGTCAGGGCGAACCGCGGCGGGATCCCACTTTGTCCCGCAGGGTGGCAGGGGTCTGTTTCGTTTGTAGCGAACAACCAATGAAGCCGCTGATGTCACCAGTTGCAGGGCTCCTGAAGCGAAGTAAGGAAAACCAGCAACAGCGCACCCAGCGATGGACTCTGGGGGGTCACTGGGGGGCCTGCGGCGACTTGAAGCAGTAAAGTGCACCTGCAGTACCCCTGTCCGGGCCCTGGTCGTTGTTGTATCTGCACCTTGTCGGCCAATCAAAGAAGCACAACTACTTCGGCCAAACCCTTTGCCTGCGATTCCTTGGCACTGGCTCGCCTCTGGCCTCTCGTACTCTTACCAACTTTACGCAGTAATCTCTCTTTCTCTCGTCGTTTCTTGGCCCATCTAGTTAATTGCTTGACATCTGCTTCTTCTCCAAGCTAGAAATCCAGTTGCGCGATAATACCATCGGTCCTGGACACGACAAATAGCCACACGTGGTGATTCTCTTAAGACCACTACCCGACACGAACAAAACTACAGACCTCGACACGACCACCATGCCTATTTTCTAGGTATCGTGAACTGAACCCTCGCCTCCCCCCACGTTTTTCGTTCCTCGGCCGACCTCGACCTCATTTCGATCTACGTCTTCTCTGCCAAGACTATCTCCTTTCCCAACAACAACTTCTTAACGCTCGCACGAGCACGACGACAACGCATAGCTGTCGAGGCTGGTAGCCACCCGGTGATTCGACACATCGGCACCTGTTGGGCCAACTAGTGGACGATGTCGACGACTCCCACTGCGACACCCTCAGGCTCGGCCACCCTGACGGGTACCCTCGCGTCGTCTCTCGCCTCCTCGCTCTCGACCGCTCTCTCTACTACACTCTCTGCGACATTGAGTTCCAATGGAACCATAACATCCACATCGAGTGCTTCGCCAACATCAGATACTGCCTCTGCTACAACATCAGCGCTCAATGTCGCAGGTAGCGAGAAGTACCAAGGAATTACGCTCGTTGCGTTCCTCACTGCCCTGGCAACCGGTTTGGTGGTCTTCGCCATCCAAATCCTCGCCTTTCTGCTTTTAAGAAACAAGATTGCGCGTATTTTGTGCGTATACCGGCTTGACTATCCCTTGCTATACAACACTAACGAACCGCAGCAAACCGAAAACGTACCTCGTTCCTGAGCGCGAAAGAACCGAATCACCTCCTAGCGCACCATGGAGTTTAATCAGCACGCTGGTCAAATACAACGACCGCGAGATCATCAAGAAGTGCGGTTTGGACGCCTACTTCTTCTTACGATACCTCCGAACCCTTCTCACCATTTTTATCCCAATTGCGGCAATCGTCATTCCCATTTTGACTCCGCTGAACTATAGCGATGGCCAAGGCCACGATCTCGTTGACGAGGCGAAGAATGACACTACCAATGGCACGAGCTCTTCTTCAGTCCGTCTCATGGCCAGAGCCAACAACGACGCTACGACAGTGCCTACCGGCCTGGATACTTTGGCATGGGGCAATGTGGGTAAGAACCACACCGGTCGTTACTGGGCACACTTGATTCTTGCATTGCTCGTAATTATTTGGGTCTGCACAGTCTTCTTCTTCGAGCTGCGCGTTTATGTCAAAGTTCGTCAGGACTACTTGACAAGTGCCGAGCATAGACTCCGTGCCTCTGCCACAACTATTCTCGTCAACAGCATTCCTTCCAAGTGGTTGACCGAAGAGGCTCTTAGTGGTCTATTTGATGTTTTCCCTGGTCAAATTCGAAACATCTGGCTCAACCGCGACCTAACTCCACTTCTCGAAAAGATTCAGCAGCGGGAAGACATCCATCTGAAACTTGAATCCGCCGAAACAGATCTGGTCAAAGCTGCGAAGAAGAAGCAACTCAAGAGGAAGAAGCAGGAAGAGAAGGCTGCGAGAAAAGCGTCCAAGTCCAAGGGCCCATCGAGACAGGAGCAGGCTCTCAGGAGACAGGCAGAAGACGCTGAGGCTAAGAAGAGGGCTGAAGCTGGTCAAGGTGTTAGTTCCGGCGAACATGATGAGGTCCCTCACGACATCAGCGCTGTCATCAACGAGAACCGCGATGATGCAAAGTCAAGGCGCTCGAGCACTTCATCTTCGAGCTCATCCGAAGATGGTAATCGACCCCAGTCTAAGGGCTTCGGACTGGGCCTTATCGGCGACGGCGTCACCAAGGTTGGGAAAGGTTTGCTTGGGGGCCTGGGAAAGGCTCAAAAAGAAATTAAGGAATTCACTGAAGATGTAGACGACACCGTTGAGACCACCAACGGCTTCGCGATGCTGCATCCAGACAACCGTCCGCGCAAGGTTCAAATTCTGGCCGACAGCGACCGACCCGCCACGCCCAAAAGCACAAAGGACACCACGGAGCAAGTCGAGCCGCTTGCAAACACTGAGACGCACAAGACTCACTCTAGAAATGTTTCTGCTGTCTCTCAGGAAACTGCCGATCCCAACTACAAGCGAAGCTACGAGCCATTTGGCAACGGCAACACCGTCCGCAAAGTCAGCAACCTGGATCATATGTATGATCAGGAAACGCGTAAATTCTGGCAATTTTGGAAGGCCCCTGCCGGTGGCTACGCGTCACCTGTGCCTCAGGGATTCGATGGCGGAGAGTATCCATTCAACCAAAAGAAAGATAAGACCTTGTGGCAGAACATCAAGTCTTATATTCCCTTCATGGGCGACGACGAACAAATCCCTATCGACTATCCCGAATGGAATGCTGTCGGCGGCGAATACAAGAACATCTTGGATGATGACGCAGAATGGCGCAAATGGGTCAAGGAGAAGGACAGGCCAACTCACCGACTTCCACGCTGGGGTTTCCCAAACTGGCTCGCATGGCTCACATTTGGCCCCAAGGTTGACACAATCTACTGGTGCCGCTCTGAGCTGGCCCGTCTGAACGTCGAGATTGAAGACGATCAAGCACACCCAGAGCGGTATCCCCTCATGAACTCTGCCTTTATCCAATTTAACCACCAGGTCTCAGCGCACATGGCTTGCCAAAGTCTCATGCACCACATTCCAAAGCACATGTCACCCCGAATCAACGAAGTTTCGCCAAAGGATGTCATTTGGGACAACATGGCCATGAAGTGGTGGCATGAGTCAATCAGATCTGGCACCGTCACCATCATCATCGCGGCCATGGCTTTCTTCTGGGCTATTCCTATTGCCTTCACAGCGTCAATTGCCAACATTGATGGTCTGGTTGAGAGGTTCCCGTGGCTGGACTGGATCAAGAAGGCGCCCATCGATAAGGTCGCTTCTGCGATTGCCGGTGTCTTGCCAGCGATTCTGCTCGCCCTCCTGCTCTTCATTGTCCCTCATATCCTCGAACAGCTTGCCCTCTTCCGGGGTGTCAAGACGGGATCACAGAAAGCAGAATTCGTCCAGCGATTCTACTTCGTCTTCCTCTTCATCCAAGTCTTCCTTGTCGTTTCCATCGCGTCATTCTTTACCGCGTCGGCCGAAAAGTTGGCCCAGAACTTCGAAGGCCTTACCAATGTCACGAACATTTTGGATCTCCTTGCCGACAACCTACCAAGAGCGTCGAACTACTTCTTTTCCTACATGTTGCTCCAGGCATTGTCTGTGAGTTCTGGTACATTGCTCCAGATCGGTGCTGTCCTGGTTTGGTATATTCTGGCCAGGGTTCTTGACTCTACAGCCCGCGACAAGTGGAAGCGGAACACGACCTTGTCAAAGATTGCGTGGGGTCAATTCTTCCCCGTCTACACCAACTTTGCCTGCATTGCACTTGTTTACTGCGTCGTTGCTCCGCTCATTTCGCTATTCGCGGTCCTGACGTTTGGCTTGCTGTGGTTTGCTCAACGCTACAGTATGCTCTATGTTACGCGATTCGAGAATGATACAGGCGGCGTCTTGTATCCCCGCGCGATCAATCAGACGTTCACGGGCCTGTACGTGATGGAGGCTTGCTTGGCAGGCTTGTTTTTCATCGTGCAAGATGAGCATGACAACAACACTGCCGTGCCGCAGGGTATCATTATGCTCATCACCATAGGATTTACAGCCGTTTACCAAGTTTCGCTCAATACGTCTTTCTCGCCGCTGTTCCGATACTTGCCCATCACCGTCGAAGACGAGGCAGTCATCAGAGACGAAGCATTTCAACGAGCACAGAACAAGCGCCTTGGACTCGGCGACGACGACGATGATGAAGACGATGAGAAGACGCCCATGAGAAATGGAGACGGTGCTGGATCGGTCAACCGCGATATCGAAATGCAAACCATGAGTAACGGAGCACCGAAAAGGAAGCCTTCGACTATGCGTAAGGTCAAAGATGTCGGTCACTGGGCTAAGAGGGAGGGCAAAAACCTGCGTAGCAAGACCTGGAAGATGGGCCCCGCACCCGTACACACGGCAGCCGAGTACCGACGTCAGCAGCGAAATAAGGATCTCGAGGCTCAACGGGCACTGGGAGAAGCGCTGTATGGCGGTTTCCACGACGAAATCGAAGACTTGACGCCCGATGAGCGTGACGCACTCGTTAAGAACGCGTTCAAGCATTACGCTCTTCGGGCGCGCGCGCCTGCAGTCTGGTTGCCCCGCGACGATATTGGGGTGAGTGATGACGAGATTCGGCGCACCAAGGAGTACAGCGAGCACATCTGGATCAGCAACGAGGGCACGGCTCTCGACAGCAAGGTTCGCGTGGTGTACGGCGCCAACCCGCCCGATTTCTCAGAGATTGACATTATCAACCTTTGAATTGTGTATTTGAATATGTAATGAAACAAACGCATATACCCAGCCGGCGTTAAGGGGAAACATTAGCATTAGAGAAGAACAGAAATAGCGTTAGTGTTTTGGAGTATCGGAATACAGTCCTTGAATACTCTTGACCTACAATCCCACTGCCACCTATCACATTGCATCAGCCAACATCGTGAATCCGACACAAACAAAGACCTGGAAAGAGGAACATTGGACGACTACCTAGTGCTTATAAATCATCAAAGACCAATGACGTTGGAGACTCGACGAAGATTCGGAGGCACATAGACGACGTATTCCCCGCACCCCCCCTCTTCTTGCATCAAGTTGCTGCTAATAAGTCGCTGATCCAACTGCAGGTCAATCTCATCTTTGCGAACGTAGAGTCTTCTATCAAACCAGCAATTTGCTACTTTTGACTATATCTTCCCCTATCGAATTAAGACGAACAGCGAAAGAAAGAAACAAGATGACCAAGACCGGGAAAGCCAAGGCCGTTGTCAACGGTACCACGCTCGCGGAGGCGACGGAGTGGGAGGAGGTCGAGGGCAACGTCTACTTCCCGCCCTCGGCGGTCAAGACGGAGGCGTTTGAGAAGACGGAGACGACGACGTTTTGTCCTTGGAAGGGGACTGCGAATTACTACTCGGTTAAAGTCGGGGGTGAGATCATGTTCTGATATGTCGTTTTGGTCTACTACTCCTATGCATTTGGATGTACAACGGCTGACTATGGGGGGTGGCGTGGATGTGTGTAGATGACAAGCTCAAGGACGCTGCTTGGTATTATCCTACGCCCAAGGATGGGGCGAAGGAGATTAAGGACCATGTCGCCTTTTGTGAGTTGTTTCCCGCGTTTGCTTTAGGATTTCTGATATCAGAGAGGGATAGAGGTGAAATGAAGGGCTGACTTTGAGGGATAGACAAGAGTAAGGTGACTGTCACTGTCGAGTAGTTGGGTTCTTGGAGAAAGCTAGGGAGTATGTGAGGGCTGGTTTTGAGTTTCGCTATTTATCCAAATGAACGGCAGGAAAGGCTGTCGGATGTCGAAAGCAATGCAGATCAAATCAGCGCCGTCTATCTTCCCGAGTTTACTGAATACTTCTCCGTGTTGCTCCTCCTCCACTCTGGGTCTTGTTGGGATGTCGTCGGAGTGCCCCACTTTTGCTGAAATACTGTCATGATATCTCACCTCACGTCATGAAGGAAGGAACGAGGAAGCAGGAAGCACAAAAACAGCAAAAAGAAGGCCGCCCGGGATGAGGATCGAACCCAGCGCCAATAAATGGCAGCGGTGAAGGTAGTCATGCGCCTCAACCCAGTTGGCCAGATAGACGAGCCAAATGTCCAAGATATTTACTGAGGCGAACGAAAGGATTGAATATATACCCTCCTGCGTCAGTCACCGCGTCGGTTCCTTCCTCAGACATGTTACATATTCATAGGATGAAAAAAATACCAAAATTTGGATTTTGGACCTGGGTATCCCCTCTTTCTACATAAGCCATGACCATAGGGAAGAACTTGCAAACCTTACCATGATACTACCCGTCTAGACTTCGACAATCTCATCATCATCGTCGTCATCATCAACCTCCTCGACCTTTGAGCCATCGGTAAGCTCCTTAGGCTTGGACTCCGCCTCGCCCTCGCCCTCCTCTGGCTCCTCGTCTCTCATCAGTACTTGCACCAGACGGTCGCATGCATCCTTGACGCCCTCGTCGTTGACGCGGGAGTGGTTTTCGCGGATGATGGGGTACACGCTGACTCTTCTCAGCAGATCGCGGCCTCCTCTCGTCGTCGTGAAGAGCAGAAGCGTCTCGACGTGCGTTTGGATGATCTTGGGATCCGAGTCACGCTTCTTGTCGGGGGGCAAGAGTTGCAGATCAGGCAGCATGCCCATGGTGTCGTCCTCGTCGTACTCCTCGTTGCCAGTGATGGGGAGGAGGATGTAGGGGAGAATATCGACCTCGTCCTCGTCCATGAAGGTGGAGTGGAACTGGATCTCAAATGCGACGTTCTTGATCGTGCTCGCGACACCCTTCCTCCGGATCTCGGACTGGTGCTCGGTGAAGACCTTGAGCTTGGTGATGGGGATGACCTCATCGTAGTCTTGCCGGGTGACAAAGTGCTGGCGTACTTCAGCGTGCTTGGTGAGATCTGCAAAGAGGTAGGCGAGGTAGTCGTAGTCGGCATCCTTGTTGTAGGCTCCCTTTTCCTTTACGAAGAGATCGACTAGCTGGTTTAGAACTAAGTCGTTGGACTTGAGCTCCGCTGGCGGTGTTTGCTTCTTGGTAACAATAGTGTTGAGTCCATCCCACTTTGCCAAGTTGGCAAGCAGCATTGCCATCAGGTTGGCGTTTGCCTCATCGGGTTTCTATTGGAACGGGGTTAGCATATCGCATAGTCCCATTACTGCATGGTTCTATGCCAAGTTAAAAAGTTGACATACTACTACCAAGTCCAAGAGAATATCGATGAACTTCTGGTCTGTTGCCACGTTCTCAAGAACGTCTTTCTCGGCAGTGAGGTTGACGAGAATTGTCAACGCATGTTCTGCGATTTTCTATCTATTGTCAGTCTCGGGATCAGGCAAGTGATGAAAGGCTTGTGCTTACAGGGTGATCTCTGACTAGGAACTTGAGGTGCTTTACGGGAGTCAAGTTCTCTGTCTTGAAGATTGCCGGGTCTGCCTGTGAGTAGCCTACGAGGTTTTCGATGGCTACCTTTCTGAGATTCGCATTGGGATGAGCGATGAAGCCCACGAGCTATCACATCATGAGACGAGTCCAACAAAGTGCAAGTTAGGCGTTTCTGATCGAGTAAGCATACCTCTTCCAATTCTGTAGGCATTTTTGGTTCTTTTTTAGTGTATATCGTGAACGAAAAGACAGAACTGCGTGAAATATGCTAATTTCCTGGGGCCTTTTGAGGAGAGGTCTCAATTTCACTATAAGACAGACTCGCAGAGTCACTTGCAGAAGCTTTTTGGTGGGGTTTGGTGGCGGGGCATTGACTCTGCTCGCCGATGAAGTCAACATCAGGGGTCCTCATTGGACAAAGGACCAGACAAGCCCCGTAACAAACCGGTCCAGGGTTCTGGGCACTAATCAGGCGCGGGGCAATCGATAAGGAAAATCAAAAATTTCTGGCTCACAGGAAAAAAAAAAAAGAGGCACCGCTTATCCCGCCTGTCAGTCGTACTCCGCCACGACCATTTCTCACCGAGTGATTCTCAACAATGGGCAAGGCTACCACCCCGACCGACCGCCAGTCGCGGAGACACAACCCTTTGCAGGATGATATCCTTGCTACGGGTCCCTTGAAGAACAAGGCGCCCAAGAGAAAGAAGGGCAAGAACTCGGACGAAGAAGACAATGGCGAAGGCTTCGTCGATGCGACACGGAGTCGCACCATTCTCAAGCTAGGCCGAGAGCTTGCCGAGGAGGACGGCTCTGCGAAGCCTCAAGCCGCCGCGAAACCCACTGTCGACCTTTTTGGAATCGAGTCGAGATACGGCACCGATGTTGGCGACGAACAGGCGTACGACGATGAGGACGCCTGGGGTGAAGAGGACGAAGTTGTTGAGGAGATCGAGATCGACCCCGAAGACCTCGAGACATACCGCAAATTCTTGCCCGAGGCCGAAGATGACCCTGCGGCAATGCTGAACCAGCACGGCTGGGGTAGCAAGGGTCCCGACGACGAGATGGCTGGCGGTGGCACCAACTTGACGGAACTCATCCTGGAGAAGATTGCGGCGCACGAGGCTGCCGAGGCCCGGAAAGCAGCGGGCGTCCCCGTTCGTGATGAGGAATATGAGCTTCCCCCGAAGGTCGTTGAAGTATACACAAAGTATGTACCCAAGATTGGCGATCACCGGAAGTTTGTTGCTAACCGTTTGATAGGGTTGGATTTATTCTGTCGCGATACAAGAGCGGCCCCCTGCCAAAACCCTTCAAAATTTTGCCGACTCTGCCTCATTGGGAGGATATCATTGAGGTTACGGAACCCCAAAAGTGGACGCCGAATGCTGTTTACCAAGCGACGAGGATCTTTTCTGCTTCGAAGCCCATCGTCTGCCAGAAGTTCATGGAGCTTGTTGTCCTCGACAAGGTCCGCGAGGATATCTACGAGAATAAGAAGCTGAATGTGCACTTGTTCGACGCGCTGAAGAAGAGTCTTTACAAGCCCCGAGCTTTCTTCCTTGGCTTCTTGTTCCCCCTTCTTTCCAGCGGCTGCACAATCCGTGAGGCGCAAATTGTTTCCGCTGTGCTCGTCAGAGTGTCAGTGCCAGTACTTCATTCCGCTGCGGCTTTGAAGGGTATCACCGAGATGTAGGCTTCCCTGTTCTTCAAGTTCTGGGTGTGAATATGTGCTAACGCGGCTGCAGTGCTGCTCAGGAAGCTTCGGCGGGCACCGAGGGCGGTGGTGCGGCCAACATCTTCATCAAGGCCCTGCTGGAGAAGAAGTACGCCCTTCCGTACCAGGTCATCGACTCGCTCGTCTTCCATTTCCTGCGATTCAGAAGTGTGGACCCTGCATCCATCAAGGAGGGTCAGTCTTTCTCTGGAGACATGGTCAAGTCGCTGCCCGTTGTCTTCCACCAAAATCTTCTGGCATTCGCCCAGAGATACAGAAACGACTTGAGCGAGGACCAGCGAGAGGCGCTGTTGGACTTGCTGTTGACCCACGGCCACCACTCTATTGCGCCTGAAATTAGGCGAGAGTTGCTGGCTGGCAGAGGAAAGGGAGTGGCTGTTGAGCAGCAGAGTGCCGCATTCGACGGTGATGATACGATGCTCGTGGATTGAACGACACATGAAAACAACTGGGACATGGGAAATGGAGCTTGGCCAACCCCTGGGCATTAGAAGGCGTTAGCAGGTCTGATTTGATACCCGCAATCCTAATCGAATGGATTCTGAGAAGCTCGTGATATTTTGACGCGTGATTCACGTTTCTGTGGACTTCCTACTTGGCAGGGGCCCCTTTACTCGCCTCAAATTACCTTACCTGAGGTAGGTGTCCCATCCTGCCGAAACGGAGGTTAGCGGGGACCACCACGTGCCGTCTTCAGCATCGAACTTGTCCAGTCCCTGCCGTAAGTATTCCGAACAAACTCTTTTCGAAATCTTTCCTCTTGATCACCTTCGATTATCTTTATGGTTCTCCCTGCAGCCTGCCTAGCCCTCCTCATTTGGCCGGTCATTGATTCCACGAATCCCTAGCAAGCCGTCCTTAGCCTAATGGCCTCTATTCATACAGTCGACGGCAATGATGCAGTGACAGAACGCCAGAGCTCTAGGGATGATCTGCCGATGAGTATCGTGGCATTCAATGACCCTTTTCAGGACCCCGTCCGGACTCGCAGACGGACGTAAGTCTGCCATGTGCTGGTAATGACAGCTCTTGATGCTGACCCCATTCACAGATCGTCTTCGCAGTCCTATCCCATATCCAACCGCGACGTTCACAGGCTGTCCTTTAAAACGGCGCTCAGAGTCACTTGTCCTGAGGTTTTGCAATTTGCACCTGGAGATAGCTGGGATGGATCCAGTACGCCCAAGAGGGGACAGTGTGACGGATACTTTGGCTCACTGCCAGCAACACCTACTACGCCACAGTCACTGCCCCGTCCCAGCACTAGGTCAACTCCCACTCAGCCGTCTCCAATGGATTGGCCAATGACTCCAAGGCCTGGAAGCTATCATGACCCTCCAAGGCCCCCCAAAGAAGGATGCGAGTAGGTCTGGTTTCCTGAAGGATATTGGGCTGAGCGAGAGATCATCTCTGGAAAAGCGCGCCAAGGCAGCGCAAACAAGCGTTGGAGATGGGCCAACAGATCCCCAAAGATTCGAAATGTTAGCACTAGTGAGCAAGAGATGCTGCCTCCGGATGTTCCCTCGTCTCCAAGGTCCGTACTCAGCTCCAATGGGCCGCTTAGCCCATCGTCGGAGGAGTTCCAGACTAGAGTGTTGCAGAATACGTTGCTTCACACAGTACGACCTAGTTTGGACCGGATGCCGAGTATTCAGCATACCCTCAATTCATCGGAGGAAAAACTAGCAATGACACTCCAAGAACCTCCGCCAGAGCTAGCACAGCCGTTGGAATCAACTCATGGCGCAAGCTCCGGTGCTCCATCGATAAGCCAGAGCATCCAGAGCCGGAAAAGCATCAGACTGTTTTCTTTGTTCAAGAACATGACTGTCAGTACATTGGTGTTAGACCGAGCGGGGTGTATTCTAATGTCGAGCAGAAGCAATCGTCCGAGTCGATATCCGAATCTCTAGCCTCCGAGCAACTCGCCGACGTGCCGAAGAATATCTCAAGCTCTCCGATATCCAAAACGCTGACTTGGTTCACCAACAAAGAAGATCAAAGATCTACGGCCACAGGCACAAGCTGGTTCGGCAAGGCCCCTTGGCACCGTAAAGACTCCAACGACACCATCAGCAGTGCCACAAGTTCTGTTCGAGACTTTTTGGCAGGAAAAACTCCACCTGTCACGCCTGATCCCGAGGGCTTCTTGAGTCGTAGGAAACCAACAATTGCCGATCTTAATGTAAGCTAACATCAGACATAGGCCAACAAGACTCCACCCTGACGCCGTACCCTGCTGGAGTGAGTGCATCCAGATCATCTTCGAGAAGTGTTCAACTGACCGTCACTTCAGGAAGCTACAAGGGTGAGAACTCCGCCAACGCACGAGGACACCGCGGATGGAAAGCCACGAGGCTTTTTCACAGACATGGTTCCACCTGGGGAAGACAGTGATACCTGGGACGCTGCTCAACCGGCCAGATCTACAAGCGTTAAACGAAACCAAACGAGATGCGACGACAATCTCCCAAAAAGACCCAAGGAGTGGTGGGAAGCAAAGCAACGAATACAACCCAAGCGGAGACTAACAGGACCTCGCAATTTCGAATTTGATCTTCCGGAGCACCTACCCAGTAGTCCAATGTGTCCGGCGAACCCTAAACACGTATCGGGTGGTACTGGGGTTTGTGTTTATCATGGGAGAGGGAGGAAAGAGTCAACACTCAAGATAGAGCATAAAATGAGTGACAGACGCCAAGGATCAGAAGTGTCTATTACCTCGGAGACCGATGAGAGATCAATATGGGACTGATGCTGGCTGAACCTTTATTCACGCCCTAGAACAGATCAAATTGACATATTCACACGGTCCTATTACCTTGTGTGGGCATCACTAATAATCATGCGTTCTCCAAACAAATCATGATTATAGGGATGTGTGGGTCAAGGTCGAGAGAAAGCAGCTTGAAGCTTGAAGGTACATAGGAGGCTCAATTGTGGCGCAGCTCTATAGATTGGCGTGTGATTAATATGGGCCATGTAATGTGGCTGAAAATGGCGATAGGTAGCCAGCAACTGAGGCTGAACCTCTAGCCCCAAATTTCGAGGCTCGTAAACACTCCGTCGCATCTACACATACAACCCAAGTCACGCTCAATTCGGTCATCCAAGCCTTTTGGTCATCTTTCCAGGCTTTCAGAAGCTCTATAAGAGCCCGATACTTATAAGCCTATTGTTTCTTTTACCTATCATTATGGCTGCTAACGAGCAGGATCCACTGCTCCTGCTGCGGCAATCCATCGCATCGAAACGACCTGCGGTTCCCACAGCTTCAGCCGATGCTTCTGCGACCGAGGTTCCTCTCTCGCAAGCTACCCATCTACTCTTCTCGCACCCAGCTCCCGTTTCTGTATCGCTCTCGACACCGACGCGTTTCATTTCAAGCGACCGCCCGGTCGACCTGCGATCCATCTACTTCGCCTGGCTAAACAAGGATGTTGCAATTCCCGAATACAACGCAAGCGCTACCCGCCTCAACGAAGAACTGGGCAGCCTAGGCACTGTCCAAAACCTTGCCTTCGTCGAACGTTTAGACTTGTTCACTTGGCTGGAAGGCGCTAGTGAGGAGAGTGAACACATCAAGCCTTTGGCTGGCGACAAGGACGGCAAGGAGGGAGCTAGTGCGAGCGCGTCCAAGACTGCCCCAGCAACTGCGGCCAGTCGAGCTGGACGAGGCACTTTGGATCCTAGATTGGCGGTCATCTACAATGGAGAGCGCAAGATGGGGGATCGCAACTCTGTGTTGCGCGGCGTGAAGCACACGGTGAGTCGCGATCAACCTCACAACCAAGCTACGCATGACTGACTCGATTTCTTTTTAGGACTTCTCCCATGTCCGTAAGCTCGCTGTTCCTTTCATCCAGAAGAAACCCAATGGCTCGTCGAACATAAGCGCCAACCCATCCCTCGCGCTCAACCAGAAGGCCCCAACGAGGCGACCAGACCCGATTATCCTCCTCTCGCCCTCGGCCTCCTCCCTTCTGCGCCTGTCCAACATCCGCTCTTTTCTCGAGTCAGGGCGCTACGTGCAGCCCGACGGCAGCGCTGCTGCTAGCATGCTGCACGTCTCCCGCGTCATGAAGGATATCGACCCGTCGCGGCCCATGCGTTTCATTCTCGTCGAGGGCCCTGAGCAGTTCAAACCCGAGTACTGGAATCGCGTTGTTGCAGTCTTCACAACTGGCCAGTCATGGCAGTTCAAGAACTACAAGTGGAGCTCTCCTCCGGATCTGTTCCGCCGTATTTTGGGCATCTTCATCGGCTGGCGCGGGGAGCAACCGCCAGACAGCGTAAAGGACTGGGGCCACCGCGTGTTGCAGCTCGGCGTTGATCGCTGGCGTGATGGAACTGGTGCTCAGGAGGCGGCCAAGTTCAGGGACAAGGAAGCTGCAGAGTCGATCTGGCGGGCAATTGAGGCGAACATGAAGAACAAGGGATGGACAAAAACCACTGCGCCAACCCAGCTATGAGTTCCCATCAGAGTCTCTTAGGATGACGCACAGAGATGGCTGTCATCGATGCTACGGGACCGAGGACTAGGGTATCCGACTTCCACATAACAACCAAAGTCTATCATGCATGCAAAAGTAAAACACAGGGGCTGGGAAACAAGTTCACAGCGATGGCGTTCAAGGATTGATTTGTGCCAGGCGGCTAGCAGAGGGGACTGCTCTAGGGCAACTTTTAAGGTACCAGAGACTAGAGTGACTACCATGACATCAAAGTCTTGAAGAGGAAGTTTTGAAAAGTATCTCACTTATTTGGTGATAAAAGCGAGGGGTTGCGACTCAGTTGAGAAAGGCACCAATGGATACGTCTTAACTGTACCCTTCCATTCTTCCGCCGGGCAATACAAGATAAATGGCGCTGATGAGACAAAGACCAGGGAGGTTCCACCTGGGTTCATCGAGTAGGTTGTATTGAGATCATATCCGTTGCAGAAAACCACTGCCTTACAACACGCCAATGAAGCTGAGGCCCAGGGCATCCATATGCCCCTGGTCTGTCTTGATGGCGGGGGCGGGTCCTGATCCTGACGTCGTCTAGCATAAGTGTTTGATCCTAAGGCAAGGTGTTCGGTCGATCATATCCCTCTTACGCATCGTTACGAATACTTGGAGGGGGTTCAAGTTCGATAGAAGAAACAAAACCGGCTTTGAGATGTTTACGTAGCTTTCGGCTGGCGTAGGAGTGGGCTCTAAACTCGCGTGGACTTGGGTTCATGCGGGGGAGGGGTCCGGCGGGCTTACTGCAGATGAGCCAAGCTGGGAGGCCGGGCAACGGTAGTTTTGTGACAATCTTTCAGTAGTTTTTGTTATTAGCCGCCTTCATGTGTTGCAGAGAGATTGTTTGTTTGATTGATCACAAAAAGCTCGTAAGACTCCATCTGGCTCAAGATTTCCTCTTGGGAAATTGTTTCTTCAACATATGTGAGGCGCAATTGGGGGTTCCGAAGCCTCAGCTCAGATAGCTCCAGTCGGAGACTTTGAGGCTACTGTCTAATTACCTTAGTGTCAGCTTAGGCCGGCACAAGGTTGCCGAAGATTGGATTCTCCTTCGAAAGTCTTGTCTCTTCAGATTTGAGGTGACCCCCCGTGACTGGAATGCATCGGCGCAGATGCCGTCGAATCCACGCAGCGTCGAGGGCATACGAAGAATCCGTAACTAGGGCAATTTGGGTAGCTCCATCCTCCAACTCCATCCTCGAACTCCATCCTCGGCTCGGTTTATCCAGGCGATGCTTGGAAATGCATCACGCCTGCCGATATTCCACGCTAGAACGGTGGCTTAGCCCAGCTGGATAGGCTGACTAAAGAAAGGTTAGGCAACTCGGGTGAGGCTTGAGGCGATGAGATCCCCACCATGGAGGCGATATGATGCTAGGTAGTCGTGCGTAGCTATCTGTAGATACCTCGCCCTTCCCCACTACCTATTGCGGGTATTGTTCGAAGAGGCGTATTTGGTGAAATCGAAGGAGAGTCCAGACGACATTCTGGCATGCCTTACGTTATGCAGAAACGAGAACACAATAGCGTCAAGCGCACTTACACGCGTCTTGCCGCCAAGCAGGGGGGGGGATGTGCGTCCGTGTCAGTGGAGAGAAGCAAGCAGGCGCAGACTGGCTGCGGGCAAGGCAGGCAACGGTTGGGGAGCTCGAGGCAGCTGGGGATCCAGCTCAGGCAAGAGGTAACCGGGGAGTCCCTGGGAACCCTTCTAAAAAACTAGACCCTTTTACCCCATCCATCCCTCCTTGCTGCCCGCGCAACCGAATGGACAGAGGTGGGTTAGACGGCCCGTCAAAAACAAACGTTGAATTAATATTTGCTTCTTCCTTTTCGGTTTCGCACACTGCCGATGCGGCTCCTTTCTTCTCGTCTTGACGAACTACCCGCGAACCCCTTTCCTTGGAACAACGTCGCATCACAGCTGCGTCTCTTCCACCTCGCCTCTCCCGTCGGGCACCCGCGGCTCTCGTCCGACATTCGCCCACGGTAGTCAGCTTTTGGCATCTCCTGCTGCAGCAGCTGCTTCCCAGTTTGACGTCATCTCGGTGAGTTGCTTTCCCGCACACGCACGTCGCATCGCATCTACCCAATCATCACTGCGTCTTCCTCTATGTGAGATTGTCTAGCAGAACGACGGTGAAGGGCCAACCAGTGCCAGCGAACTTCCTGCGGCTCCAGTCCCTTCGTTGACTGGTTGGCTCGACTTCTCAGCCCGGCATGCCTACCCTGCTTCAGATCGCTTCTCTTCCTCCCCCCACGGTGCCTGCTTCCGTCATCCAGCATCAACGCATATCCTTGTTGCTGTGCAGTAGTCGCCTGTTCAACATAACGCTGCGAGCTGCGAGGGGCAACAAACACCAAACTTCCAGATCTGTGGGGAGCAGCTGCCGACGTTCCTCCCGTCATCTTACAACTGGGCGACTGCTACCCATGTGTTACCTCCGCGATTGCTTACCTCTTCTAAAACTACTGCCGTGCCCTTTACCACGATAACTTCCGCTTGCGAAAACATCTACTACTTTGTTCCAAACTACCCGTGACACGACTGCTGACTTCCTTTGCTGCCTTAGTCCACTCATTCTTTTGCCTTCCCCCTCCTTACAGAAAACCACAACCTTTCGATCAACCTTCCGAAGACGAACCTACGTCTGCCAACGTGGTAGAAATCGAAGCTGCAGACAGCTATTGCGACTACGTTTCCCGGACCGAAATAACGGTGCTTGGAGAACCCGATCGTTTTGCGAATCTCGACTGTCACGTCACTTTGCTCAGCCACCAATTACGCAGGCGACACATCTGAGCTACGCCACACCAAGACCTACCCAACACAAGGCTGTGTGTCTAGATCCCGGCAACCTTCAACACAGACAGGCGGCGAAGCTACTTTCGATAACCTCGAGCGTGCTTCGTTTGGTCTACAGCTCTACAAATCTTGGCCGCGTCGAGATATCCTAAGCTTGGCATGCGTTTTGGACAAAACAGTCAACATTTCCAGAGTCTTTAGTCTGTCGAACATCAATCACCGTCGGGATGGGAGGAGTCGACATGAGCCGCGACTACTACGCGGACCTGGAGCTCCCGGCAGACGCAGATACGAATGAGATCAAGAAACAGTTTCGAAAGCTAGGTATGGTGAAGCTGATCTTTTCCTGTCGAACGAGTCGATTAACCCGAGCTAGCACTCAAGTACCACCCCGACCGAAACCCAGGCAGAGAAGCCGAGGTCAACTCCCGATTTCAGGTCATTCAGTCAGCCCATGAAATTCTGACCGACCCTCAACAACGAGCCAAGTACGATGCCGGGAGAACACGATCGAGATATCCTACAGCATCCGGAGTTCGAGGCAACCCCTGGCAGAATGCCGGTGCCAACTTCCCTCCCCCACCTCGTCGTAATGCGACAGCTCGCAATCCGCCGCCGCCTCCGCCAGCCTCAGGAGCAAGTAGATACCGCAACTTTGCTTCGGGTGCGGCTCCAACGGCTAAAGCGCAGACGAGAGACGACCCAGAAGCGAAGCGGAATGCCTGGCATGCTTTCGAGAATATGAAGGGTCGGGCCAGCCAGTCTCAGCCAAAGCCCGCCAAGGCCCCCGAGACTCCAAAGCGACCAGTTCCCCGGACTCCTTCTCAGAAACAGAGGGCGGAGGCTTCCTTTGGACGCAAACCTGGCTACACTCCTCACTCGCCCGTCCCTGCAGATGAGCCTCCGGTGAACTCGTCCAACTACTCCACCTCATCCCGGCACACCAACATTTTCGCAGACAATGCGCGAAGACAACAAGAGGCAGGAGTGCCAGACCCTCTGGCGCAATTTAGGGACTCGGATTCTCGCCAAAGCACTCCTTACATGTCACATGGCGGCGAGAAACTGAATCCATTTGATGGCATCTCTGTGGGACGGGCGAAAAGCACCCGGGAAAGCCCTCGACCACCTCAGGATAACTACGGCCCCAATCTTTCGCCTGGCAGCGCTCGTCAACGCGCCCAGAGTGTCCCCCGTCAAGCAAGGACTGAGCCGTCGAGCCCGCGCACTTCGACTTCGACGCCGCAAGAGGACCGCCCTAACACGGCGGCTGCAACTGCGTCCAACTCGCCCAAGGACCCATTCAGATCCCGCGCAAGCGCAAGATACACTCCACCTAATACGGCCACCGGTCCTGGTCCGAACAATGCGCAGGCGAAGGCCACTGCTTCTCAGAATCCTAATGGTGGGACTGTCTAAAGCTTTATAACCCAGCAAAAGCTAATGGTTTCGCAGGAGCGGGAAACATCCACACGGCACAAGGATCTTCAATGTACGGAACATCTTTTCCCCCAGGTTCTTTTCCTCCTTTTGCGGTCCCCAACCTGCGGCGCAAATCAGCAGCCGAGGCTCGCACACAATGTGCAACGCAGCATCCGCTCCCTGAGCAGTCGAGCAACGCAGACCTGCATGATTCGCCGTCTCCTAGTGGAGATAGGTCGAGGAGAGACTCACTCACACCATTCGAGCGAAAGCAGGGCGAACTTCTGAGCAAGCTTGTGAAGAGACAGGCGCCAGACCTGACGCCGCTTTCTCGTGACAAGCGCTACACGATTGGCACTCACCATGATGTTGCACCGAACCAAGCTGACAAGAAAATTACCAATAGCTTCAATTTTCCGATCGACGATGACACCTTCGCCCGAACCGCCGCACCAGAGCAGCCAACTTTCAGCCGCAGGAGCACCGAGGAAATTGACACGAGCTTTGTAAACGGTGATGGTCCAGATGCTTGGAAATTCAGCGCCGGCAGTCCGATCCAGGACCAAGCCGCCAAGGTTCGTTCACAATCTGGAAGCCGTGTAGGCCGTCGATCACCGATCAAGCGCCCCAGCTTGAGACACCAGAAGGACATGTCGGGCCAGCCGGCAGGATCACCTTCTGCGGAAGGAAAGTTTGATGCGCAAGACTGGACCCAACAGATTGGGGCCCAAAACTTTGT